GAAAAGAACAAGGGAAGGGGGGCGTGAGAGATTGGATGTGCCAAGAGAAAACCCATCATCGCCCGGCTTTGGATCGCCTCATCTCGCCTCACATCACCTCACTGCCCGCGCCACGACCACGCGCGCACCACCCCCGGATCGTCGACATCATGACCGACCGTCCGTCTGTGTCCGCCCCATCCCCAGGCCCTTGTAGACAGACAGAACCATCCCACGTCGGAAGAAGAAGATGAAGAGAGGAGGCGAAAAGCACAAGAGAGAAGAAAGAGGTGAGGGTTCGGGGGGGGGGGGGGGGGGGGGGGGAACTAGGCCCCTGTGCATGCGTGCCTCGCCCAAGCCGGCCCCCTCCACGGTCCGAGATGTTGTTACCTTGTCCGCCGAAGGGCTCGGTCGGTCGGTCCGGGACCCGCCATCGTCACCGCCGTCCCTGCGCCGGTCCTCGAGCCATCGTCTGGCGGACGAAGGAAATCAAGGGAGGAGGGAAACCCGAAAGGCCCTAGATAGACGGTGAACCCCCGGCCGCTCCGGCCACCCCGGGGAGCGCGGGTTTGTGCCATAGATAGCCCTCCCCTTTTCCTTCCCCCCCTCCCATATCCGACCCATCGGGCCCGGTCTGCCAGCTCCGTCCACACATCCCATCCGTCCGTCACCCGAATCTCCGTTCGGGAAAAAAATATTCCTCGGGCCACCTCGGCCGCCCCGGACCGACTTGCCCTCTAGTCCCTCCCTCCCCGCCCCAAGGGACCGCCAAGGCCATTTTCAACAAGAGCATCCGGCCACCCGTCGACACGCCCACTGTAGGAAACTAAGCTGCCGTCATCTCACAGGCGTCCGTATCGTCTAGCCCCCTCTCCTGGCCCTCGCTGGAATGGGCGCCGCGGCCGCGAGACCGTGAGAGGCATATTGCCCATGCTGCCGCAGGCATCGGTCACTGCGTGCCGTAGACCAACATGTCGGTGCCCAGAACGCTGGAACAACTAGCCCAGAGGGCAACACCTCACAACACCTCACAGCACCGCACCGCACCATCCGTTAATCACACGAAATCACAAAGGGGCAGATCATCACAGCGCAAAACGTATCACAAGAGACGAAACCATGATAGCGAATGCCTGCCGGCCGTCTCTTCTGTAGCGGTCAACCAAAACGCACGCATCAAGAGCAGCCCCGATGTAATAAGAAGCCTTGCCTATGATAAGCCCGTACGTGGTAGCTGTGCTGCTAACTATTTGATCGGTCTGTTTTCTATACACTCCGCCCTCGTAACCTCTCTCAAGAATGCCAAATCCACCGTCATTGATGTACCGACGGCAGAACCGCCTTCTCAGTTATTGGCCCAAAGAGATGCCAAACCGCAACGCAGAGCAATGACCTTGACCTAATCGTACGCCAGAGCTGTCGAAGAGAGAGAGAGGAAAGCCGTCGCCCGTCATACTCGTCCAACCACCATGCCTCTAGTTCCGTCTAAATGGCGTACTTGCGGGTCCACTCGCGGGCCGTGGCCTCGTATCTGGCGCGGTCCGTCTTGTAGACATGTGCAATCTCAGGCACAAGAGGGTCGTCGGGGTTGGGGTCCGTCAACATGGAGCAGATGGAGAGCAGGACTGTGGCGGGGGTTAGCACGGAAGGCGGACGACGATAGGTTTCTACGAGACATACCCTTGGAAATGGTCAACGCCGGGCTCCACTGGTCACGCAGGATATCTAAGCAGATGCTGCCGTTGGAGTTGATGTTGGGGTGGTAGATGCGGGTGGTGAAGTTGACCTTGGGAGGCTTGAAGGGGTAGTCGGTGGGGAAATGGATGGCGAGGAAGAAAACACCGCCAGAGTAGGGAGAGTCACCCTGAGATCAAGTCAGCCATTGGGTTCGAGCTGTGTTTTGGTGATGGATAGATATTGGAAGGCACTCGGCTCTGGGAGCCACGGCCAACCAAACCAACAAAGCAAGGCGGAAGGGAGTGAGAACTTACGGGTCCCATAATCGTCGCTTGCCAGTGGAACTGTGAAAACGTCAGTCACTGGATGCATTTTTACGGGTTACAAGCGCCGCGAAGACGCGATGTCGTGCTCGGTTGAGTCACGGTTGGAAGCATCACCACAACGGGCGCTTATCGGGAAGATGGGGTCGACGTACCAGGTCCTCGCCGACGGGGCCGGCGGAGCAGGAAGAGGGAGGATCACTGTCAAAGAATGCAGGTCAGCATGTTGTTTCTCTCATGATCAATCTCGCGGCCTCAACGACCGCCGTCGTCGGGGGTGGACGCCATGATAAAGCGTTGCAGCAGGACGTGTTGAACAAGACAACCCCCGCTCACTCCGGCGGCCCCACCAGACGTCTCTGGCGGTAACAAAGAGGGAGAGGGGTAGAAGATTTGACATACCGGCCGAGGTCAGTGAGCTCCTTGTTAATTCTCTTCAAAGCCATTTTGGATGTGGTTTGTGGTGTAGGGGTATCTAGAGATGGATGATCGCCGAAGCGCAGATGCTGTGTTCTGTTGTTGTGAGGGGCAAAAGTCAGCGAAAGCGGTCGGCAGTGGTGGGCTTTTTTTTTCTGAATGCGGGACAAAATGGATGGTGGTGGTGCTGCTAGTGCTGCCACTGCTACTGCTGTCGCCGGAGGTGCTGTGGAGGGGGGCTGGTAGTAAAGGGTCACGCTGCCCAGGGAAACAAAAAGCTTGCCAGCAGCGACGATGCAGAGAGTCGAGGCTTTTGTTGTATTGTCCGTCGACTGTATAGTATCGTCCGATGGAGGGTTTCACTCTCTGTTGGGCGATGACAGGTGTCGATGCAGCGGCGGCGGCGGCGGCGGCGGCGGCGGCGGCGGCAGCAGCAGCAGCAGGTCGGCGTGCGGGAGGAATGAAGAGCGTGGAGTGCAACGGGCGGGGGCGGGCGAAGCGTACCTGAACGAGGAAGTTTGTCCTCGTAGACAAATGCCGAGAGTGAATGAGGGGTTTCGCTGTTTTTTTATTGTTTTCGGTTCGTTGGCTCGTTTCGTGGCCCGCGTTGGGTTGTGAAGATTACAACGATCGTCAAGAGTAGTGTTCGTGGAGCAACCGATTCGCTAGGTCCGGTCCCGTTACAGGTTGATGTCGATGCTTGCTTGGGTTTGGGGGTGGAAGGAGAGAAGGAGAAGGAAGTCACGGTCGGGCCTGGCGAAAAATGACGGGAAAGGGCGGCGAGTCGTGGGCTGGGTAGGCAGGCAGGAGGAGCCACTTTGGAGGGGAAGGCAAGGTGGGAAGGAGGGCAGGAGGGGCGCAGAGAGGAGGGGGAGGCAGGCAGGCAGGCAGGCAGGCAGGCACAGTGGCTGGGCTTGGGCTGGAAGGCACCACTCTCTCCAGTGAAAGGCCAGCGGACAATGACTTGGTCCGAATGGCTGACCACTGACACACTGACAGACACCTGACGCCGATACCGAATGACGAGTGACTGCTTGTACTCAGCTAGGTAGGTACATACACGTTGGATTCTCATTCATCACTTTGCCTCAGATACCCTTGGGTTTTTTTTTCTTCTTTTTTTTCCTTCCCTCGTAGTCACTAGGGTGCCCAATCCGAACATGCAATCCTCAAAGTCAAGATTGGCCGCCGTCCACAGCGTCATCCGAATCCAAACAAACAGCGACTCTAGTGGTTGCTCCTAGCTACAGTGGGGAGGAGAAGAGGAACCTTGAGGGGGCACTTCGTGCACCGCCACACACACAGCGAGATGTACTCGGAGCGCTAACGGCTGACAATTGCTGACCTGTGGCGGGATTGATAATGACAGTCGGTTACTCAGCGGATAACTCAGCCTCACCAATGTCCGGGCCCACACTACGTAAGGTACTTTTAGCTACTCCGTCCTTCCCTGGTCTTCCACGAATGACTAGACTGCTTGCTGCTGCCCATCTGATTGCAAGCATGCCAGGGCAACCAACATGTTCCCCCGTCTTCAGCTCTCTGGTGGCATCTACATCTGCATCTGCATCTGCATCGGCTCCCGCTGCCGGTAGCAATGGTAGCAGTACGATGCTTTTCGAGCCCGACCCTGAGGCCACCAGCCGTCTTCTCACGCCTGGGGCTGGGGCGGCAATCTGGACGGGATATCCGGTGGCCTTGCGTCCCGTTACAGGCGTGCCACGACCACCACACATCGACGCTACTCTCAGGACATCATTCATTCACTCACTGTTAGGCAACTTCCATCCCATCGTAGCCCGAGAGAGTGAGTATACGGAACCTACTGTAATGATGCCGCTGTTCTCTCTGGACTGGACCCGATACGTGTACTGCACATGTCATGCCTTGGGCACCGAGTGGTGCCTGACGCCACAGGTACCTTATCTGTTCTGCGCCACCGAAGCGTCCCATCTTGGGTCTGAACCCTCTCTCTCCTCTGCCGGCTGTTGCCGACTGCGCTACATTAATTACATAGTCAAGGCCCAAGGCTGTCCCTGGCACGTTTCAACCTCCAAAGCGCCCTCGGTTCCTATTATGCTGTTGCTACTTCCCGGCTTAGCCCACTGTCCCTACGTCGGCGCAGCGCCGTGCTGATCTTCCATGCATATTGTGGCTGCGTCCCTGGTCTCCCATAGAGAGCCTCATCTCCTGGCACCGGGGTGATGGGCAATCAAATTCATAGCATGTAGTTACTAATCAGCATCGATGGACCGAGATATCCATCAAATACGGCAGGCACTGTTCTGAGGAACCGCAGCTGCTCATCGAGGCGGGGTGGTAATCCAAAATCCAAAAGAGTTCACTTTGACGATAAAGGCTGCAACGACGTCATGCGTGACGCCGACACCGGGTCTTAGGTAATCGCTTCTCTCAATACGCCAGCCAATGAGAGACGCCTCAGGTTGATGGTCCATTTGTGCCTCGGATGACGCTCGGGACGGTTATCGGCGGGGAAAGGCGCCCCTGGGCCGGCATCCGTGGATGCTGCTTCCTGTGCCCACCATGTCTGCACGATACTCGTCCAAGCCGCCGTAAGGACGACCCAATTGACCGACTTTCAACATGTATCGACCCGCCCTGAGGATATGCGCAAGGCGGTGCGCCGTGGCGCCTTCCCGCCGTGTTGTGCCCGCCGCCGCCGTGAGGACATTCGCCTCGACTTCCGACGGCCCCGTCTTCAACTGGGAGGACCCCCTCAACTCCAAGAACCTCCTAACCGATGAGGAGCTCGCCATATCCGAGACTGCCGAGCGGTACTGCCAAGAGCGCATGCTACCGCGCGTGCTCCGTAAGTCCCATCTTCTGCCCGCCCGCCCGTACAGCACGCGACTGACGTTGTGGGCGCAGAGGCCTACCGCGACGAGCAATACGACAAGAAGATACTCGAGGAGATGGGCGAGCTGGGGCTTCTCGGCGCAACGATCGAGGGCTACGGCTGTGCGGGTGTGTCGACCGTTGCTGGCGGCCTCATCACCAAGGCCGTCGAGAGGGTCGACAGTGGCTACCGCTCCGGCATGTCCGTCCAGTCGTCGCTGGTCATGGGCGGCATCGCCGAGTTCGGTACACAGGAGCAGAAGGACAAGTACCTGCCTGCGATGGCCACGGGAAAGATGCTGGGCGCCTTCGGCTTGACGGAGCCCAACCACGGCAGCGACCCCGGCTCGATGGAGACGGTGGCGAGGCCCCATCCGACCAAGAAGGGTTACTACTCCCTCTCCGGGTCCAAGACGTGGATCACAAACTCGCCCATCGCCGACGTGCTCCTCGTCTGGGCGAAGCTGCAGGAGACGGGCAAGATCAGGGGCTTCCTGGTCGAGCGGTCGCAGTGCTCCGCCGGCACCCTCGAGACGCCCCCGATCAAGAACAAGAACGGCCTGCGCGCTTCCATCACCGGCATGATCCAGCTCGATGACGCCCCCGTGCCCGCTGAGAACATGTTCCCCTCCGTCGAGGGCCTGCGCGGGCCCTTCTCCTGCCTCAACAGCGCGCGCTACGGCATCGCGCTCGGCGTCATGGGCGCCCTGGAGGACTGCGTCGCCCGCGCGCGCGCCTACGCCCTCGAGCGCCGGCAGTTCAAGAACAACCCCCTCGCCCGCTACCAGCTCGTGCAGAAGAAGCTCGCCGACGCCGCCACCGACGCCGCCTACGGCACCGTCGCCGCCATCCAGGTCGGCCGCCTCAAGGACGAGGGCAAGGCGACGCCCGAGATGATCAGCATGGTGAAGCGCCAGAACTGCGACCGCGCCCTGCACAACGCCCGCGTGCTGCAGGAGATCTTTGGCGGAAACGCCGTCAGCGACGAGTACGCCATCGGTCGCCACGTCGCCAACCTCTTCGTCACCCAGACGTACGAGGGCCAGAGCGACATCCACAGTGAGTCTTTCCCTGGTGGCCTTGCGTGGGGTTGCTATCTATTTTTTCTAACCAATCTTTCTTTCACAGGCCTCATTCTCGGTCGGGCCATTACCGGTATTCAGGCCTTTGTATGAGCGCGTTGGCATGTAGCGTGTGTGATATACATATCGGTGCATCCGGGCAACAGGCACGGCTACGTCAACCAATATGACTGCATGACCCTAATTCCTAACGGCCCGTGAAAAATATATGGAGAAGTAGCCACGGTGGCTATCGTCGAGAGGGCATGGGGAAACGGCATAAAAGAACGGGCATAGGTACAATGAGGGGGGGGTAAGGGGTAGTGTTACGCGGAGGGGGACTCTCTTCCTCTCATGGGCGAGACGCCATGCGTATACGTGTCAAGTTACATTTATCGGAAATACTGTGGCAATTCCTAGACGACAACGCGAGATGAGTAAATAAACTGATTTTATGTTATGTCGTCAAGACGTCAAACTCGTGATATCTACTCCCCATCCCCCCCGTTGCCGTCTCGGGCTCGCGGGTGCCATAAGCCTTTACTGTAGTCTTCCAATCGTTTTTCTGGTAGGGTATTTTTTTCTTCTTCTTTTTTTAAATGCCACAAGTGACAGAGTAGAGAAAGTCCAGCCTGGTATGTCTCACATGTTTGTCCCTTTTCTGCTGCCGTGTTTAATCGCCCTGATTTGGTATGACAGTCGCATCAGATATTGACGATATCAACAACGATAAGCGGTCCGGAAAAACAAGCACACGCCAGTAAGTTGGAGGAACGGGATTGCATGCACGCTCCGTTTCTCTCCCGTCGTCTTCTTTCTTTTTGCAAGGGGAACGATGATAGCCAATATCCAAATCGGCAAAAGACAAAAAGCCGACGGAGCGGTCTGACGTCCGCAATGGAGATGCTACCTAACCCTGTTTCGGCACAAAGTTGGGGAATGCCTTTTGTTGGCGGACGAACAGCCGGCGGCTGCGGTTTGTAGAATCGGCACGCCGTGGCTGCTGGCATATGTCTCTCTTACTTCGTGCCCGACTCCAAAAGAGAGGCCATGTACGCGATTCGACCGTTTCTAGCGGAACATGCCGAACGAAACCAAACCTCCGGCGTCCACTCCCACACTCAAGCAAGGCCGACCAGATGGATAGATACAATATTTCATGAATACTACACCGGAAAAGGAAGTCTTACAACCAGTAAACCGCGAAGAGGTCTTCGTGGTCTGGCCTTCACCGATATAGTCGTGAAAGAAAGCCTGCTTTAACTGAGCGCAGCCACACACGCTGCGTTGTATCTACGTCCCCCAACCTCGAGGCGCCACGCAGGTCCGACTTGTCCCGTCTGCTTTGAAGGCTGATGAGCTTTAACACTCATCATGTCATAACGCCCAGGCGAAAAGGGATGAGATATATTTGTACGACCGACAGGCTTGAGTACAACACCAGTATGTCTACGCCCGCTCTCACTTCTTCTCCTGCTCGGCCTCGTTCTATTCTTGGACCCACTCGGCTGGAAAACGCCGTCTGAGTATCATTCAGGCTTGTGCGTAATCTACAAAGCCGATAATGTATGTAGTACTTTCAGCACAAAAGCATACTACTTACGTTTATGACAAGCATGTGTTCTCTAGCTAGCCATATGTAGTCGCCAAGTAATACTTCCACAACAAAAAGGAACCACAAGAGGGTTCAGGCTAGAAATCTCAGCATCGCGTACCACCAACGAGTCGAGAGCACCTGGCGGTCCTGGCTAGGGGTCGTGGTGAGCCCCAAAAATAGAAGGCCTAAAGACCTCCGTAGCAATACCAGCCTCAAGCTGAGTCCATCCACAAGGTAGCCCGGCGGCGATAACCAAAGCCCACGGGCAACTGGGCAGAAGTTCTCTGCCTTGCTTGATGTGTCTCCAAACCAAGAATTGGGCATGCTGTAGGGCGATGGATGGGCAATGGGGCAACGGCTCGCGTGCGCCAAGCAGATAGATATATGTATTGAGTGTGCTGAACGCTGGGAGAAGCCCTTCAAAGCTCTTGTCGATTAGTTCAGAAGCCCCCCAACACTCTCCTTATATATATGTAGCCTCAAGAGCCGGCGCAGCCCCTGTAGACGTACCAATACACGGACGAAGAGTCAAGAAACCAGAGGTTGTCCAAGCAAAGAGACCGAGACCTCGACGTGAAAATGAGTGACATGGCAACATCGAGTCTCGAACAAACGGCGCAAGCCCCGAGGGCCGGCGCACGTTGGCCAACCGCCTCGACAACGCATCTCAAAGTCAACAGTCTGTCCCCATTTTCAAATAAGCTGACGCAGACCGCGAACAAGGTCCAGGAAAATTGCATCCCTCTCTATAATAATCGTACAACCGAGAAAAGAAGAAGAAGAAAAGAAACGCCTAGCAATGCCATGTTATACCTTCCAGCCTCGCAGCTAGTGCCAATCCAGTACCTATCTCTCTCTCTGCCTCTTCCTCGCGCCGCCACAGAACCACCCCTTGAGTCCCCGTATCATGAATCCCTCCTCTCGTGGTCCATCCCCACCATCTCGTACCCGCCCTCTCCGTCCCTCCCCCTCCCGCGCCCGCGGCCCCTCGAGAAGCCGATCCCGGCCTCCTCGTCACCCCCTGGGCCCCCGTTCTGCGCTCCGTCGCCGCGGCCGGCCCCCGCGGCGCCACCACCACCGTTGCCCGCGCCCGCACCGCCGAACGATATCGGCTGCAGCTCGCGATACCTGGACCCCCAGATCGCCAGCGCCACGCAGATGCCCGAGCTGGCGACCATGGCACCCCACCACATGGTGTTCCGCGGCACGCGGCCGGTGTACAGGCTCACGACGACGAGGTGGATGCCGTGCATCGTCAGCGCGAAGTCGGGGACGAGCTTGGAGCGGCCGATGAGGACGATGATGGCGACGGCCCTGTTTTGTTTTATTCCGGTTAGCTTCTTCATCCTCTTTGACATACACTTGAGCCGTCCACAGTTCCTTCCGTAGCCCCCCACCCCCTTCCCCCTCTCTGCGAGAACAGGAGGAATCTCAAGAGCCGTGGCGCTACGAAAACACAGACACGAAGAAGAGGAACAGCACTCACATGCAGAGACCCCCGTCCAGCACCCACACAAAGGCGCCCAGCCACCCCTGCGTGGTGTCCCCCCGGACGGCCTCCCAGCCAAAGACGAGGTCGAGGCCGAAGCCGGTGCCGGCAACAAGCGCCGTGAAGACCATCAGCACGAGGGCGGCGGCGTAGTACAGCCCCTGAAGGGCGGCGATCTGCGAGGCGATGCGCAGCGGCGGGAGGTCGGCGAGGGCGCCAGGCCGGGGCGGCTTGCGGCGGCGGGGCATCTCTCGTCCAGCGCTGGTCTCCCCGGTTAGCGGGGAGCGTCGCGCGGCGCTGTGCAGGTGTCCTGTCGGGGGAAGGAGGAGGGGTTATGCCCGGTCCGAGGCGCGGAGCCGGTGTAGTCGTGCGGTCGTGGTCGTTGTGTGATTGTTGCTGTTGACGATGTCGATGTCACAGCTGCTTTTGCGTTTCCGTCTTGGATTTCGAGGGATGGAGAGATGGAGGAATGTGAGGGTTGTCGAGAGGGAGAGAGAAGAGAGCGTGGCGGGTTTCACTTGGCGAGGGAGGATGGAAAGTTGAGATGCGCCGGCGTCGTTGGTGCTTTCTTTTGGGAATCTCGCTACGGGCGGCGCATTATCGGGCTTCCCTGTCGTAATCTGGGAAATTTCCGAGCCGTTCGCCAGGATCCGTCCCTATTCCGTTTCCCCCTTCTTGAAGAGAAAGAAAAGAAAAAAAAAACAGGTAAAAGAAGTTACGGAGTTATCGTGAGTCGTAATAAAGTGTTGGTTTGCTGTAGGTTCTGTTCATGTCACGTCCGAGCTGCCACACTTTACAACACCACTGGGTGGGATCTTGACACTTGGACACGAAAGGCGGGAGGCGTCAACAGTTTTGCGCCACAGCTGCCTGGGCTGGAGCTTCTGAAGCAGCAAAGGGGAGCTCCCCGTTCGCGCCAAGTCACTGGGTTGAAGGCCCGCAGGGCTCGGAGGCTGAAGCGGGAACCGCTCTGACCCCTGTAGGAGCACGCTAGTCTATCTTTGGACACCGCTCGACTTTTCTGCCGGCCCGAACCTGGACATTTCGAGAGCCCATCTTCAACACCAGAGGAACCGACCGTCATTGAAGGAATACACATAACCCCTCCAACACTAATCGACACGAACCGGCCACGAGCCTTCCTCCCGAGCCTCCTCTCGAACCAGACCCCGTATCTCTCCCGAGAAAAAAAGGGCATTCAAAACCGCCACACTCGTACGCACGCACGAGCGCACAATGGGCCTCTTCTCCTCCTTCCAGTCCGAAGAGACCCGCCGCGCCGAGGAGGTCCGCACCGGCGCCCGCGCCCCGGACCGCAGCGAGCGCCGCAAGTGCTGGGACGCCCGCGACGCCTACTTTGGCTGCCTCGACCGCAACACCATTGTCGATGCCGTCAAGGACGACTCCAAGGCCCGCAAGGCCTGTCCCGCCGAGAACGCCGTCTTCGAACGCGACTGCGCCGCCGCCTGGGTGCGTTCCACCCGCCTCTCTCTCTCTCTCTCTCTCTCTTCATCTTTATTTTATTTTTTTCCGTTAGCAATTAGTACAAAAACAAAACATCCAGTTACGGCCAGACACTGACAAACATTCCTCTTCTTCCTGACAGGTCAAGTACTTCAAGCAGTGGCGCGTCGCCGACATCCAGAAGAAGCAGCGCATAGCCCAGCTCGAGGCCGAGAACGCCATCAAGATGGACGTCACCACCACCTTTGCCGACCAGACCCCCGCCACGAGCAAGGGCGACCTGCAGGACATGCTTGCCTCGAGGAGGAAGTAAAAGAGAGAGAGAGAGAGAGAGAGAGAGAGAGAGAGAGAGAGAGAGAGAGAGAGAGAGAGAGAGAGAGAGAGAGAGAGAGAGAGAGAGAGAGAGAGAGAAGGGAGGGAGGAAACGAAAATCGCAAACAAGCAAGCACCAAATGAAAAGGAAAGAAAAAAGAAAAGAAAAGAAAAGGAACCCAGGTCGACCTCATCTCGGCCTACTTCTTCTGTACGACCATCTCAACCCTCCCCCCGACTCTCCCCTGACGACGGCCGTCATGGGAAACCTCATTTCGCCATTCTGATGCCGACATCTCCCCACCTCTTCCTCGTCTCCGGTCTTTCCATGTACAACACCTGCCATAGATATACTCTCTCACACACTGTCACTCGAAAGACTGACTGTGATACGAGGACATACACATACACATGTAGAATAATGTATTCATGAACCAAACTATAGCTCGTCGCGGGGGATTTCACCCCATGTCTATCTACCGCCTCTCCTAACGTCACGCACCAACCATAACTTACACCACGCTTCAGACTCGTGGACGGTTCGAGAAACTCTTTCTATTTAATGCTATATCGGAACGAGACCCACCCCGACAACGGGGAAAAGGTAAACCGCCCGCTTCACAGCCAAGGTAGGTGTTGGTGCTACACTACAAAGTCCCCCCTCCTGAGTTTGCCATGTCCCGTCTTTCCCCTCCCATTTCCCACCCCTCCCTCGTTTCTGGATCCGTCTCCGGGCTCTTATGTGGTCATCATCGGATAAGTAAACAATGGCTTTTTTTGTTCATTCGTGATGACCTGTATGTATGAGAGACTTTCTGTATTCGGCAAAAAAGAAAAGAAAAAAAAAACACCAACCCAAGAAACAAGAGGTTTTGATGAGAAAACCCAAGGAAAGAGAAGAGAAGGGAAAATAAGTGGTGGTGAATAAAGAAAAGAAGAAAAAAAAACGAAGCATGCTCAATGCAATGGTGGTATCATCCATATGACAAAACACTAGTAAAAAGCTCTGTGGCTCGCCTCTCTCTCTCTCTCTCTCTCTCGGCTCTCTGTTGAGTTGGTCCGCTGTAGGACCTTGGCTCGTTGAACGAGCTTGCAGAATTCGTCATAGACCCCACGTTGATGCGATTGTAGTTTTGCTTTCGTCGGCTCTTCCGCTGCTTCGGCCGTGTCCCTCTCCTCGTTTTCCGCTCCTGCGCGGCTGCACCCTCCCCTACTCATACTCGTGACAATGCAGACCCCTCCCTAATCTCACTTCCGCGTCAGGAAACTTGCGCCCTATGCGAGGCCCGCGCGCATTTTGCTCTTTCTGCCTGCTTCGTTGGGGAGCGGCGGCAGGGCCTTATCCAGCGAGTCCCGGCTGAGACGAGGCTTGATCGAGTCTTCCCGGCCCACTGCGGAGCCGTTGCCGTTGGGCAGCGCTCCGTAGCCGCTGTCCTGGCTCTCAGGCTTGAGATGGTGACCCTTTGGCGGCGTGGGCGGTGCGTAGTCCCTCAGCCCCGCGAACCTGGCGTCCATGCCCGTTTTCGCTGGCGTGGCAGGTCGGTAGTCGTCACTGTTCCGGCTGCCGCCGCTCTTGCTTCGCCCACCGAGCGACGATGCCTCGGCCGCCTCCTCCACCACGGGCAGGATAGGCGTTCCTTGGCCGCCAGACTCCCGTCGCTCCGTCATCTTGGCCGTCGAGAGGACCATTTCGGGCACGTTGGCTTCGGAGGCACCGTATCTCTCTGACCTGCGAGCGTCTTGCTGCGCTCGTTCGACAGTCTCGCGTGCTTCCGGCGACATCGGGGCGCCGTTAGGCGGTGTCGGCGGTGGTTGGTAGTTGGGCATCGGCGGGATGTTATTCGCCGTCGACCTACGGCGCATGCTCGAGCTCCAGCTGGCCACGCGTTGATTCTCTGCGGCCGCGGCGGCCTCAATCTGCTCCTGGTCCTTCCTCTGCTTCTCGCGTATCGCCTCCTCGGGAGACATGGTGATACCCTCGACAAAGTTGTAGAAGCGGTCGCCGTACTGGTCGGGCGGGAGCGCCGAGATCTTGTTCTTGTCGCTTGTCAGGCCCTTCCAGAAGTGCTCAATCTTCTTGATCATTCCGTACTGGAGTTGTTCGTTAGCAGTGAAACCGTCAAGCAGCACACGAGGCATCGGGTTGTCTTACGTGGGTCAGGCAGTCGATGACACCGAGGTAGTAAATCTCTTCGGCAGGCGAGTTGTCCTCGTGGGTCGCCTGGAATCCGCCGTCGTCCTGGTTGAAGATGTATCCCGACCTGGTGTGGCCCTCGTCGAGCTCGTCTGGCATCTGGGTCGCCGACTCGCCCATGGGCACGGGGCGTTCGTGCCTGATCATGTTCCTCAGCTCCCTCGCCTTGCGGGCGTTCTCCAGCTTGGACGGGGTCCGCAGGAGCACCGATGGCGGCTCGCCTTCCTCTTGTGTGTTATTCCCGCCGGGGTTGAAAACCTGGAGCGTCTTTCCCCGGAGATTCTCTTCGTTGCCGCGCTGCAGGTCGTGGATACCGATGAGTAGAGAGTAGTCCATGATCTTGAGCTTCTTCATCAGCACCACGTCCTTTTGCAGCTGTTCCAGGAAGAGCTGCTTCTTCTGGATGCCCAGCTCGAGGTGGCGTTGCCGCCGCATCCAGTTGAGATCCTTGAGCGTCGCCCGCGGGTTCTTGTCGAGGTCGTCTTCCTTATAGTCGCGGCCGATGGTGGAACCCTTGAGGTCGAATGTGGTGTGAATGTCCCGGTGGGGAGGAAAGAGGTTGTTCATGACGACGAAGTGGATCTTCTTGCCGTAGGGCATCTTGACGCGGTGGAGGCCGTAGAACTGGGAGAGCAAGGTGTTTGGGTTCTCGGTGACGTGGTGGTAGTAGTCCTTGAGGATCTTGCGCAGGAACTTGTGCTCGGCGTGGTGGATCGTCTTGATGATGTACTTGTAGTCTCTGGAGAAGTAGAAGAAGCTGCCGCTCTTCCCCGGGGATCCCAGCTCGGAGAGGATATACTTGCCCGTCAACGACATGAGATAATCGGCGGGGTCGAGGCGGAACAGATTGCGCAGATGCCGGAAGACCCAGGGGGCATAATCCTTAAACTTGAAATCGTACTTTGCCGAGGGCACCAACTCGTTGCCGGCACTGGAAAAGTTAGTGAGCTTGACACGCAAACGGGCCACGCGGGACTTGACGTACATGTCAAAAGTCGACTTCTGCTTCGCCTCGAAGTCGGCATCGGTGAGGGGACGGTCGAGCTTGGCGTTGGTGCGGGACACGGAGACGCGAATGCCCGTCAGCATGTTGTAGGCCGTGACCCAGTTGGCGTGGTGTTCGTCGACCTTGGTGCCCACCAACACCCGGTCATCGTCCTCTTCCTCCTTCCTCTTCCTCTTGCTCGCCCGCTTTTGCCGGTAATGCTCGGCCCAGCGCAGGGCATCCTCGTCGGGGAGGACCTCGTCACGCGGAACATCGGATTGCATGGAGCGGGTATCCCTCCGGACCAGGTTGAGGGACGCCCTACGAACCCTCTGCGTGGTGCTCGTCGGGGAGAAGCGCCCGCTCGCAAAGGCCGCGTCGGAACCGCCGTCCTTGGAAGCCCTGTTGGATTGCGTTCCCGGGACCTCGAGCGTGTGTCGATGTTTCAGGCCGACGTTTGGCGGCGGTGGTTGCAGGTTCGTCGGCGTCGACGCGCTGGGCGTCGCAGCGGCGGAGTTGTATAGGGGCTGTGGCGATGGGGGCTGCTTGTGCGCGGTGGGGACGGGCGACGGCGAGGCGGTGCTGACGGCGGTTGCAGGCGTTGCATGGCCGTTGGCGGCGTTGCTCTGAGAGGGTATTGGCGGTGGTACGTAGTTGGGACTGCTGGCGCCATTGGTCTTGTTTGTGTAGTCAATGGGTGCCCCGGCAGGCGAGCCGATGGTCGGCGGCGTCAGGTAGTTGTCCGTCGGGCTCGAATGGTCGGTATCGGAGGCGGGTTCCTTGACAACGGAGATGGGGGGAGGCGGCGCCGTCCGATCGGGCATTGTGACGGCGGCACCATTGTGGAAGGGGTGCTTGTGGTTGGCGTAGCCGTTGTGGTTGTGGTTGTGATGGGAGTCTCCATCGTGATCGAGGTCGTGATAGTCAAAGTCTGGGCCTCCACCGGCGCCTGCCGAGCCGTTGGGCAAAGAGCTCATGCTCGTCGGCCTCGTCCCGTTCATCTGCGTGGGGATGGAATCAGAGATGTCCGAGGCGTGTGTTGACGAGGTGGAGCTTTCGTCGAAGCTATCATGGAGGTTGGTTGAGCGCGAGGGACGGAGCGGCAGGGTGTGAGTGAGCCCATCAACGGGGTGTTTGTGGCCTGACAAGTCCAATGTGTTGTTTGGGTCGAGGTCCAGTATGTCTGAGTTTGGCGAGTAGATGCGGGAGTTCTCGCGGGTGAGGTAGGTGGGCATGGTCGATCGACGGACGGGGGTCAAGCCGTTGGGAGGGAGGTTGGAGGCAGGTGGACGTGGGTGCGGATGTGACAGGGGGGAACAATTACGACTAATCTGAGCGACGTCGTCGTTTTTCTCTTATTTCCTGCGCTGGGTCTGGTCTCCTTTCCCAATGGGCAGGGCAGGTTAGCAGCAACAGGAGACGAGGCCGTGTCCTTGTATAACTTCGTTTGTTGTCCTAATAGAAAACCGAGAGGCCGAGGGAGGCCTCAGCACATTCTTTTGTGACGACGAAGAGAGCGGCAGAGAGGAAGGGGGGAGAAAAAGGCACAAATCAACGCAAAGAGTAGAATACACTGCGGCCGTCGTTCGTATCGTTCGTTGGTTCAGACTTTTTTTTTTCTTCCCTTTCTTTTAGGGGTATCGTTAAATGGCCGGGGAGGGTGTCGAATGCAATCGATCAGGAGCGAGTATGGACGTGTTGTGGCTCGATTGCGAGACGAGTCACAAAAGGGTGGAAGCGGGAGATTAGGGACTCGGGAGCGCGTTGATGGTACTCCTGACTGGTGGTGTGGTGGCTACGTCGTTGTCGCCGCGAGGACGCCGTCTAGGTCGTCGAGGATGGGGCTGCGGGCGCAACGGGAGCGTCGACGAGGATGAAGAGGGTTGCGAGTCGAGACGTAGGAGGATAATTCAATGGGTCGGGCATGTCTCGAGGGCGACGATAGGCATGGCTTAGACGGCGGGCGTGGGTGATTTCGGTCGAAGATGGTATTGGGAAGAAAAAGCCGGGGAAGAGAGGTTTTGACGATGGGAGAGGGGAGACGACGTTTGTACTCGGTATCGTTGCGTACTTGGGTACTAAGGTACTATGTTGGTAAGGTAGGTAGGTTACGTTACGGGGGGAGTACCTAGACAAGCAGGCCTGACAGACATGCCATGTACTAAGTAAATTGTACTGGAACAGCGAGCAGTGGACCACTGAAGCTGGGCAGGGTGACAGAGTGGTGGGCAGTGAGCAGTGGGCAGTGCGTAGTGGGCTCCCGACAGGGAAAGAGGCGGCCAGGACGCCCTGGAGGGAGAGACAAGAACAGGGCAGCGGTCCACTAAAGGAAAGCCACCAGTTCCCAGTCGCAATCAGGAGGAACCAACCATGGGTATGGGGTTCCCAACCTACACTACATTCTGTACGGATAGTGTACCTATCTATCGTACTAAGCTGTCCAGGACTAGGTACCTACCTGTATGTAGGTACCTACCCGACCAGCCTCTGGAAGTCAGCCTCTCACCCCGGTCGGCCTATGCATCGTTGTGCATCGAACCTGGAAGGGGTGCGTTGCAGATTGGGGGCAAGCAAGAACAACACATGGGTACATTTGACAGAACTGATAGGTAGAAGCCTAGATAGTTGCATAGGTAGGTTGGTATCCGTAATGTATAGATACATACCATGGGCGGCAGGGAGTGCATACCCGATACCTATCCACCTACCCAGTACAAGTCGACTCACGGGTACGTACCTGAGACTGAGAAGCGAACGAGCGAACAAGCGAGCAAGCAAGCAAGCAAGCAAGCAAGCAAAAACAAATAGGCAAGCAGACTCGAGAGAGTGAGGAGGTAGGCAGGACAGGACCGTCGGTCGACCTGGTTGTGGTGGCAGAGGTTTGAGGTACGTACCCCGTTGCTGTGTGTGTTGCGTTGTTCTGTTTTATTACCTGAGGCTGCAAGGTTCCTGGATAAGGGGGAGGAGGCGCGACTTTGGCGGGAACAATGTATCTCGACGCACTGCGCGTGGTTGGAGGATACTTGCCGACCCACAGCTCCCAAATGAAGGGGAGAATGGGCGTCTCTGACTGGCCAACAACGGGGCCTCTGCGCTGTGGACCAGGACTAAACGGGGCTTGGCCATCCACCCTGGGAAGGCAGGAAATGAACCGGTGGTCCTTCTCTCCTTCTTTGTCTCTCTCTGTGTGTGTGTGGCTGGTCTGCCATTCATTCACTCTTTGTCGTCTTCCTCGCCTTCCCTGTTCCTAGCCTCTCTCCCCCTCTCCCCCTCTCTCTCGCTTGCTTGAATCGTCACGAGCACCCGACACGATGCCTCGACCGTGAAAGAAAGAAAAACCTCGCCGAAACGTCACAAAGTGGACCGGTCCAGCCATCATCCAGCCGGGCTTTCATGATGGCAAGCGCCCTAATAACGCACTCGGCTAGCGGGGACATAGCACTAACATAGCTAGGCATAGGTAGCAGGTACACTACCGACATGCGTAGAAATATCCGTACTCGCTCCGGTCTTAGCTAATCATCATCCATCCATCCATCCCGCATGGCCAAGTCTTGCCCCAATCTCGCTTTTGGTCGACAGGGCCATTTGTCACTGGGTCAGTCGTACAGAGCGAGCACCAGCCAAGACGAATAACTGGCCAGTCGTGTTCCGCCCAGCCAAGGCCCAAGACGTGCCCTCGACGCCGTATTGCCGGCCGACCGACTGGGCTTCCGACTCGGACACCGACAGTTCCAATCAGCTACGACGCTCCCAATCTGGCAAGCTCGTTCCCGTGCGTTGTAGGGCGCGTCGTAACCCCCGAATGATGGGTTCTCAAATAAGATTGATGCCGCTCCTGGGGCCGTCGGGGGAGAGACAGACAGACAGAGAGAGAGAGAGAGAGAGAGAGAAGGATATGCGATTACACACACTGCTCTGGAATGCTACCCCTTCAGGACGGGAGAGACCCCGCGGTCCATGCAGAAAATATGCCGCCCCCTTTCCAGTCTTTGCTATTCATAGTACGGATGGATATCCTCAGTGCATGCATGCATGCGAGCGACACTACTATGTACTATGTACACTTCCTCGCCCGCGCATGCATCTTCAGCACGCCATGTAACTGCACCCTCCCCCCCGCGCGTCTTCTGCGAAGCGTATCCGAGTCCAAGGGGCGCGCGCCGTGTCTCGTTACTATTGTCCCGTATCGAAGCAGCCTTCCACGCCTCACTCACGTCCAAGTCTTGAACTTGCATATCCAAGATGCCTAGGTATTCGTACCCCATCCCGTTGGCAGACACCAACATCGGCAGTGTCCCAATTGACCAAAATGGCGGTATGCGTCTCATGCCCCTGACTGACCCTCTCCCTTCCCCAAACCAAAACCATACAAGATGATATGTCTGATTCGACTCAGGGGGGGGAGAGCCGACATCACCGAGCAAAGGGAGCCGCAGCCAAGCCCCGTGGGCCGCGTCCTGGCCCTGGATCAAGGACAGTGAGACTGTCGGTAGCGAACCCTTCTTCTCCCCCCCGTCGACACCTTAATATCAACCACCGCCCGTCATGTTGCCTACAATGCGGAAAACCCCTGCCCAGCTGGACAATCCTCCCCTTACCGAGCGGGGTCCGTTGACATTGCATCTCTAGGTACCTAACCCCATCGAACCTTCCCCCCTTCCCCTTTTTTGATTGTCACGTTGTCTACGGATACTCCGTATGTATTATCAAGTATTTTCGCATGCACGTCGTAAGTATGGGTGGGCATCTTCTATTACATGTGGCTCAAATGAAGGAGGAAGCAAGATGGAAGAAGAAAGAAGAAGAAAGAACAGCAGCTGAAGAGGCGTCGTGAGCAGGTTTGTCACGTCCCGCCGCCCGGAATAGCATTTGCAAAACTGCAGTACAGACATGCCTCTGCTGAGTCGAGAGACAGAACAAGACAGAGAGTTACGGCATATCCGTACCATAACGCGGTCCTAAAGACGGGCCGCCTCAGTTCAGCCTTCAGGTCCCCTCGCTCGGTGCCACTAGCGCTGCGGGGAACGGGGACCCCGAGAACCCCGTGGCCCGGGTCGTCGTCGTCGTCTGCTGTCGTCACGTTAAACCTCGAGGGGAAGTGACCAGGTGAAGAAAGAAGGGTCGCCGGTCGTTGGTCGTCGGTGAGCCAGGGCCCTGTCACCTCCTGGCCCGGATGCCGACTTCGGGACGCAGATCTCAACTGCACCCATCTACGGAGTATAGGTACTGCGTAGTACGGATATCTGTAGTGCAGTGTAGTCTAGTGTAGTCTAGTGCACAGCAACCCAAATGCAGGAGGACAAACAGCCTCAACTCGACGGCGGGGAGAAGAATCTCGTTTCGACGGTGGTTCATCATCCAAAGACATGTGCGGCTATTCAGATCCCACCGTCGCCTCCACAGGCCAGTCACGCGGAGCACCGTGGACACCCAAACCCATCTCATCAACATCTCGGCCGACTTTGACACCCCGAGCTCATCTTGTATGTAATGTAGATTCCACGGGGGGGGGGGGGGGGGGGCACCGTCGCGCAGGCTAACAAAGTGCCAGCTCATCAGCACCAAGATCGCCCATGGTCACGCCGCTCTCTCTCTCTCTCTCTCTCTCTATATCTCTTCTCTCTCTCTCTCTCTCTCTCTCTCTCTCTCTCTCTCTCTCTCTCTCTCTCTCTCTCTCTCTCTCTCTCTCCCCCTCCCTCTCCTTCCAACGAATGATACGCAGGAGGGGAGGACGGTAAAGAAAAAAAGGAGTGAAAAGACCGGTTTGTTGGTACGCACGCAGCCCCAGACCGCGTCGATCACATTGCGGATACACTGACACACTATTTATTACCTACCGGCGTCGAACCGCGCGGTGACGTCGCAACGGGCTCCTCCCGGGTTGGCTTACCAGATGCATCCCAGTCCCTGATTTTCCCTTTGGATCGACGGGGAAAGCGTTTGGACACCTCAGTAAAGCAAGGAAAGAAAGAAAGAAGAAGAAGAAAACACATGAAAAAAAATGAAATAAAAACCACGCAATGACTTCACGGGGTCTGTCTCCCCCGCTCCATGGTTCAGGCGCGTTTGGTGCATCGCGGCCAAATGCCAACGAAGGAGGAGCCAGCTAAAAAAGATATTCCGTCCAATGTGCCCTCTGTAAGCCCATCATCGAACGTACTTTTTGCAGCCTGTGAGCATAGTGAATGCTCCTATCCATTCCATCCCCCACTCTGGTCGTCTTCACACACACACACTCACACACACACAAACAAACAAACACACACACACACACACACACACACACACACAACACACACACACAAGCTTTTGACCATGTGATGCACCTCTCTCCATCGGTGTACTGTGTGTATCCCCCCCGTAATGCAATCTCCCGCGACATGACGTGGATGAACGTCCTCAACTGCCAATCCCCATCACCAACCCCAACCACCCCTATTCACCCCCCTCCTCACTCTTAACCTCCCATTCCCTGGCCATCTCTCTCTCTCTCCCTCTCCCAGCTCGCCTGTGGGATGAACCCCTCGATACTACACCGTGTTGCGTAACCAACCTCTGGCGGTTTCCGTGCCACACACAGGCGTGCACACTTACACACTTACTTGCCTATACACGCTACACGCAGCCACCCCAGTCACGGTGTTAGTCAGCGAACGACGGCGGCGGCGGCCTCGCCAAGCGCGCATGCCCGTCGCGGCACGGCACGGAAGGGGCATCGTTTATGCTAAAATCTTCCATGCTCATGTGGCTTGGTCAACCACTCTTGCCCCTCCAGTCTGGCCCAGTGTAGATTGCACAGAGAGAGAGAGAGAGGCAGAGAAATCTACAATGGAATGGGAGGGGGAAACAAGGAAAAGGAAAGGGAAGAGAAAAAAAAACTCAAGAAAACATAAATCAGATTATACCCGAGTTAACCTTATTTCGTCCCCCTTTTTCTCTAATTCTCCATGTTCGTGTTCTTGCTCGTCTTCTCCCGCCTCCTACCACCGCCGCTCATCCTTTTCCCCCGGGTTAATGTCCCAAGGGCTCGCAGCTCATCTCACTGACACGAGGCTTCGACCTGCCGTTCGTAATGTCCGTCGGCGGCCTCAGCAGATCTGGCTGGATTGGGGGAAGAAGGGGAGGAGGGGAAGGGTGGCCGGATACGACCGCGTCGGAGCCTTCCCCAGGCCCGTCCCGAAGCCAAAAGAACGGCCCTCCTCGTCGTTCCGTCATGCTTTCCCGTCACTGCGATCCAGAAACCTACAATGCCATACAGGAGTCAGGACAACTCCCACCACAAACCCTCCATGCAGACTAAAAGCAAATAAAAATAAACACCAGACGGTCTTTGGAGGGGGGTAGGTTGTTTTTGCCCATGGCCAGACAATGCCCCCCCTCTCCTAGTCGGCCTCAAGCACACACACATACACTCACTCTCTCTATCTTGACACACCCACTCTTCACATGCAATACCGTGCGGCGCTTAGAAAGTGACGGGGAAAAAAGGGGGAAGGGAAAAACAAGGGGAGGAAAAAAACACTGAAATAAATGAATAAATGAATCATATCGTGAGAACCAGCAAAGGTTTCTCATGCGCGGCATCAAAAGGCCCTACCAACTTTCGCCGCATGTCATGCTCGCTCCCCCCCGAATTGGGTTCTTGGCCTCCATGCCGTCCGAGTTCGTCTCATCGACACTCCAAGCCTTACGAGGCACTTCGCGGGGGACGTCCCATCATTATCAGAAACCAATGCCTACGTTCGAGGTGATGTGTATCTGAGAACCTCAACATCGGAAGAGAGTCTAATCAGGGCCTTGGCCACCAAAAACGGGCTAGGACGTTTCCCCTCCTTACGCGGATGGTCCGGTCCATCTTATGCTACAGACAAAGTACATGCCCAACCAAAACCCCCTTGGGCGGAAGTTACTGGAATAAAGGGAGGGGGGGGGGGGGGGGGGGACAATTCCCATCCCCACGGAAAAAAGAAAAAGACCCGTCCCTCATGCTCCGGCCACCACGGCCAGACCATCGTAAATCATCCTCTTGACCTCGTAAAAGGTGCTGCGGTGCTGCATCATCGTTGCCGCGTCCGCGATGCTCACGCTCTCCACCTCCACCTTGCCCGTGCTCGTCTTCCGCACTGCTACCGCCCCGTTGATGACTAACGTACCCTCCCCCCGGAACTCGGCCGTGTAGCCCGCCGACTGCATCGCACGCCGCAAGTCCGTGAGCCTCAGGTCGCCCACGTGGAGCGGCTGTGCCACGGAACGCACCGCCGACGCCATGTTGGACGGCAAGAGGTCCAGTGTCGGCACCACCTCCACCTCCACCTCCTCTTCTTTCTCCTTCTTTTCCTCGTCGTCGTCGTCCTGCTCCTCATCCTTGACGGCCTCTTCGGCATCAGCATTGGTCTCGGCGTCTTCCGCCTCCGTCTTCTGCCTCTTGTTGGCCCCGTCGTCTTTTTCCGCCATCTTGCCCTTGGCTAGAGCCTCCGCCACGAGCTGGCCCGTGACTGTCACAACACCCAACCCGCGGACGTTCTGCCATTTGAGCTTCTTGACAAGGCTGTCGGCCAGTTTGACCACCCACGCGTTCGTGTCGACACTCGCGTCGACCCAGGTGCCCATCGCAGGAGTGTACACGTCGATGCCGTTCTCCTCCGAAGCTCCCGACTGCTGCGCGAGGAGCATCTTGCAGTCTGCCGCAAGCGTCCTCGTCTCGTCTGGGGTGCCGCCCACCAAGATGAGCTTCCTCGGCTGGATCAACGGGATCAGCATGTTCAGACTCCTCTTGTCGTGCAGTCCGCTGAAATCAACAAACGCAATGCGCAGATTGACCATGACCTTCTCTCGTGACACGACCAGCTTGGACGGGCCCTGGATCTCCTCCTCGACAGTGTCCTCCACCTCGTCCAGCTCGTCGGTAACGTCATCGCCTGCGGCGTTGGCGTCCACGTGGTCTGCGGATGCAGCCCTATTGTTCTGGCGCTTGTTTGAAAACCTGTTGTTTCCGTCGTCCCATTTGCGCTTCTTGCCGAGACGGTCCTCGTCGTCATCTCCTCGAAGACCATCATTCTCCGGCGCTTCTTCCTCCCTCTCTTCAGCTCGCAAGTAGTCTTCGGGCCGGATGACGTCTCCAAACTGGTCGTCGCGTCTACGGCGCATGACGAGAGGGAACGACCTCTCACGACCTTTCTTGCCCCTGACATCAAAGTCGTAGGCGCCGCGCTTCTTGGTCAGGATGTTAATGCCGAGGTCTTCGTCGGTGAGAACGACCTTCTTGCGCGTCGCTTGGCCCATCGTCGTGGAGATGTTGAGCGCTTTGCCTTGCTGTTCGTTGTCCGACTCTCCCGAGTCGGTGGATGAATCCGACGAGACATCGTCGGCGGCGTCGGCGGGCGCTTGTAACGAGGCTCCTCCGCCGCTTTGTAAGGTAGCTTGGAGCTGGCGTTGTGTAGCCAGCCACTGCTGATAGACGTTGAGCTCTTCTCCCTCCAAAGCCTGCCGCTTGGCCTCTTGAACCTCGAGTTCTCTTCCACCGCCATAAACCAGCTCAAGATTATTGCCATTGCTGGACTGCTCGACCGCGACGCCGTCCCGGCGCTCAGTCCACCAGTCCCACAGCGTTCTCGCTATTGACGGCTGCTCGGCGCGAGATTTGGCCGGCTTGTCCGTCAAAATGACCAAGTTCCTGGAGTCCTTGGCGAGACCGCGGATCAAATCCTTGGAGAACCCCCACTCCAGAGTGTCGTCGCTGGCGAGGATGACCCGCCCTTCTGCCTGAACATTGTCACCGGACCCGGAGAGAAGCTTCTCAATCTGCGCACGACGTTCCACCAGCTTGAGATATCTAAAGTCGAACGGCACCCCCTCCTTGCTCTTGGCCTCTGTGCCATTGGCTTTGCGCTGCCCATCCGCGACCGACTCGAATTCACGGACGATGTTATCGTCCATCCACTCCAGCATACTTCGTGCGTACCGCAGGGTGCTCGACATATTACGCCCGGCCAAGTAGAGTTTTGCTGATTTGAGACTGCTGCTGTCGGATTCCGAGTCTGCCCTCCACGCGTGCTCAAGCAGATAGGCGATCTCCAAAACACGGGCGCTCGAGTCTACCGGGATGAGGGCGGTGCCTCCTCTGGCAACGCAAGTCTTGATCATGTCGATCAGCTGCTCGTCGCGCTTCGCACGACCGCCAGCCTGAGCCACCTTTTCTGCGCCTCGACTGCTACAGACGAGAGCCGTCGGCTTGCGCAGTTGCTCGATGACATCGGCGCCGCCGCCCCCGGCACCGCCTAACCAAGCAGCTCCGGCAAAGACATTTTCCTTGGCTTGGTTCCAGTCGACAGCGTAGACGATGGACTCGAGACCGTGCTGGATGTGCCATATCGTTCCTCCGAGACTGTGGCCCGCGTTGTACGCAGTAATTATAAGTCCGTTGAGCGGCGGGGAGAAGGGGGACGGGAGTGGCTCATGCGGCTGCGAGTATTTCAGGGGTTGGATAAGGGAGAAGTATCGGGTGATTTCTGCGGGAGAGGGCGCTTGAAGCAGGAACTCGCTACCGGCCGTGGATTGCTGAGAAAAGGAATAGGCGGCTTCGGTCAGAGAGCCGAGGGGTATCTTGGTTGCTGCCAGAGGGGTCGAGGCATAGAGATCCTGGGTCAAGGTGCGGCCCAAGTCGATGACGGGCCGCGTTGCGTAGACGGGGATTCGCGTGAATAATGGAAAGTTCTTGCAGCAGTGGGCGAAGGCGGCCAGATGGGATGTCGTGGCATGGGTCAGGAGGATGAGGGATAGCGTGGGAACCTGTCTACGGGAATGTTAGTCTGTGGGAGCGCAAATAGAGTGCTATGGGAATATGGCTACTTTTCAAGCTCCTGGAGCTTCTCGACGTCAAAAGACTCATCCCAGCCGAGATCAATAAGGATCTTGACGCCTCCATCGAGCTCGAGGATTGATTGCGACGCCGATGACTCGGACAGAGCGCCTTGCAGAGGACAGAAAGTAAACATGTTTGGTGTCTATGCAGCAGGGGCTGCGATGCATCGTTTGGGGGGGTTCAACCTGTATTTGGGAGTTGATTCGGCACCAAGTCGCTTCGCTTCAAGATGGAGTGGTGTAGGCGATAACCATGGCGTCGAGCGTCGGATTCAATGTTGGCTGGGAAATCTGGATTGTCGCGTAGCAGAATCCAAGATGCAAAGCAAAGTCCAGGATGCATCGGCAGCAGGTACGTACCGCGGACGTGCAGTAGTGCTAATGTACCTACCTGGTAGACTAGGTACTTCAGATACCTATCTACCTGGAGCAGGTACAGGGGCCAATAATATGGGTCCATTAGCCGGTCTCTGAACGGTGATGGAGTTATTCCGGTCCCGAAATGGTCTAGCTCGGCTGTTCGGCAGGAAGTGGGGGGGAGGCTGCTGCGTTAACTTGAACAGGTAGCTAGCTATAGGTACACCGCCTCCCTATCTAGGTACCTAAGTGTCTGGCGTAGCTACGCCCTCTAGGTAGGTACCCACGTGTATTACCTAGCTATCTATCCGTACCTACCTAGGTACTTGAACTGGGCTATCGGGACTGGAAAAACGTATCGGAATGTCATCGTGTCAATTTGGTTCTAATCCCTGTCGATTCGTGGATTCGGCCTGACCCGACCCGTGGTGCTCGAAAAGGGACACACTTCAAGCTGTTGCTCTCTTGGATAAGCTTGGCCGGTCCCCGAAACTGCCGCCGACAATCAATCCTTCCAAGAACCCGTCTGCTTAAGAGAATGAGAATGGCGCACTCTTAATTGCGTGCGCGCATGACGAAGAATTTCCCAGCGAGTTCCCATTCCGGCAAACTACGGCGCACAAGAGCTCTACCAACAGCCAACCTGTCTCTGTCTGTCTGTCTGTCTGCCTCTTCCACCTAGTCTTGGAAGCTACCCGTACTTGATTTCACTACGGCCATCTTCGAGAACGACAACATTCCCCCCTTATTACCCCCGGCCACCGCCAAAGACGTCTGCAAACATGTCTGATTTCAGCACATATCACCACTTGGGCCAGGGCGAGCAGGACCCCGCGAACCCGAACCGATCGACACAACCCGCACCTCCCCCCTTCTCACCTCCCATCGCGGGGCAGCAGCACCAGCAGGGCGCCGCTTACGGGCCTCCTTCGACCCCGGGACAACAGCAATACTATGGCGGGCCGCCCGGCTCGGTGCCGCCCCAGGGTCAGCCCTACGGTGCCCCTCCGGGCCAGGAATATGCGCAGAGCCCGGGTTTCCAATCCCAGGACAGCTTGGCGGCGCAAATGGGAGGCATGTCGCTCGGTGACGGCCACGGCACCGCCAGGAGGAAGAAGAAGGACCGCCACGCCTACCACCAGGTCGAGGCGACAGGCTCCTCGCAGCCGTTCAACGGCATCCCCGCCGCCGGCACCAACGCCACCGCTTTTCTCAACGACCCCTCCCAAGCCCAGTTCGCCCAGATGAACCAGTTCCCTGTTGCTGCTGGCGAGACCTTCACACCCGCCATGCCTGCCTCCCCCGCCGAATTTGCCGCTCGGAACGGCTCCGGCTCGGCAGGACCCCCCGCAGTGGTCCAAGCCTCCGGCCACCAGAAGCTGTCCCTCGATGACCTGCCTAGCGTGCCGCTCTCTCGTGACGCCCTGCAACAGCACTACTTCACCAACGTCTATCCCACCTTCGAGAAGCACCTGCCCCCTCCCTCGACCGTCTCATACGTAGCCTACGACCAGGGCAATGCTTCGCCCAAGTTTGCGCGCCTGACCCTCAACAGCATCCCCTCCAACGCTGAAGGTTTGGCTCTGACCGGTCTTCCCATGGGTCTCCTCCTGCAACCCCTGGCTCCTTTGCAGCCCGGCGAGCTCGAGATCCCCGTTCTTGACTTTGGTGACTCTGGCCCTCCGAGATGCCGCCGCTGCAGAGCCTACATCAACCCCTTTATGATGTTCCGCTCGGGCGGAAACAAGTTTGTTTGCAACCTGTGCACTTACCCCAATGATACCCCCCCCGAATACTTCTCCGCACTCACTCCTCAAGGTGTCAGAGTGGACCGCGATCAGCGCCCAGAGCTGACCAGAGGTACTGTGGAGTTTGTCGTGCCCAAGGAGTACTGGACGAAAGAGCCCACAGGTCTGCGCTGGCTGTTTGTAATCGACGTCACGCAGGAGTCCTTCAACAAGGGCTTCATCGAGTCCTTCTGTGAGGGCATTGTGGCCGCCTTGTACGGCGGTGAGGACGCCGAGAGGGACGAGCATGGCGAGCCCAAGAGGAGCATACCTCCTGGCGCCAAGGTCGGCTTCGTGACCTACGACAAGGACATTCACTTCTACAATGTCAACGTGAGTTGCTCGCCATGCCTCTCGAGCATCGCCCACTAACAGCCCACAGCCCGCCCTGGACCAGGCACAGATGATGATCATGCCTGATCTTGAAGACCCTTTCGTGCCGCTGAGTGACGGCCTCTTTGTCGACCCCTACGAGTCCAAGTAAGACTTGCTCGGCCTGTTGCAAGTGGAAGCCTCGACTAACACGCACCAGGGACGTCATCACATCACTGCTCACCATGCTGCCCACAATGTTCTCTGATATCAAGAACCCAGAACCGGCCCTTCTTGCCACCCTCAACTCTGCCGTGGCCGCGCTGGAGAAGACGGGCGGCAAGATTGTCTGCTCTCTGGCCGCGCTGCCCACCTGGGGCCCTGGCCGTCTGTTCCTCAGGGATGATGGAAAGCACCCCGGCGGTGAGATTGACAAGAAGCTCTTCACGACCGAGCACCCGGCATGGAAGAAGATGGCGGAGAAGATGGTGGCCACTGGTATCGGTGCCGACTTCTTCCTCGCCTCGCCGTCGGGCGGCTACCTCGATATCGCCACCGTCGGCCACGTTTCAGCCTCGACCGGCGGCGAGACCTTCTACTACCCCAACTTCATCGGGGCCCGCGACAACACCAAGTTGTCCATGGAGATCAAGCATGCGGTTACGCGCGAGACTGGTTTCCAGGCTCTGATGAAGGTTCGCTGCTCAAACGGTCTGCAAATCAACGGCTATCATGGCAACTTCATCTACCACACGTTTGGTGCCGATCTCGAGATCGGCGTCATCGACGCCGACAAGGCCATGGGCGTCACCTTCTCCTACGACGGCAAGCTCGATTCCAAGCTCGATGCTCACTTCCAATCCGCGCTCCTCTACACAACAGCCTCTGGCCAGCGCAGGGTGCGCTGCTCCAACGTGATTGCGAGTGTCTGCGACAACCCGAGAGATAGTGTCAAGTTCATTGATCAAGATGCCGTCTTTACGATCCTTGCTAAGGAGGCCAGCACAAAATTGGCCAACACCTCTGCGTCGATGAAGGACGTCAGAAACCACTTGACGGAGCGCACGATCGACATCCTGTCAGCGTACCGTAAGAACTTCCTCACATCGGCCCAGCCTGACGGCCAGCTAGTCATGCCGGAGAGACTGAAGGAGTTCTCGATGTACATGCTGGGACTCCTCAAGTGTCGCGCGTTCAAGGGCGGCAACGAGAGCTCCGACCGCAGAGTGCACGAGATGCGGATGATCCGGTCCATGGGCGCCAAGGAGCTGAGTCTGTACCTGTATCCACGGATGATCCCCATCCACAACCTCGCTCCGGAGGACGGATTCCCTGACGAGTCGGGTCACCTCAGGGTGCCCCCCGCGATCCGTACCTCCTTCTCTCGCGTCGAGCCCGGTGGCGCCTACCTCGTCGACAATGGCCAGCAGTGCCTCATGTGGTTCCATGCGCAGACGTCGCCGAACCTCATCGCCGACTTGTTTGGCGAGGACAAGACGACCCTGCAGAGCCTCGACGCGTACACGTCGTCGCTACCCATACTCCAGACCCACCTGAATGCGCAAGTACGCAACATCATCGAGTTTCTCAAGACGATGCGCGGCTCCAAGGGGTTGGGTATCCAGCTCGCAAGACAGGGCATCGATGGTGCCGAGTATGAGTTCGCGAGGATGCTGGTCGAGGACAGAAACAACGAGGCACAGAGCTACGTCGACTGGCTTGTGCACCTTCACAGGAGCGTCCAGCTGGAGGTATGATATGTCCTGCTCCTTCCATCACAATATTCATACGAATTCTTGGCTAATCACTTCTCGTAGCTGTCCGGCCAAAGGAAGAAGGACGACCCGTTGACGGACGCCAGCGCACTAGCAGGTTTTGCCGGCCTGAGACCCAACTACTGGTAACGCGTAGGGGTCAAGGCAAGCAAAGAGACCCAGGGAGAAAAGGGTGGACGGGTGGGTGGTATGTGAACGAATTTTTCAAATGGTTTAAGCGTTGTCGGAACTGCATATACATTTGGGTGTCAAGGGGGGAGAGAGAGAAAAAAAAAAAAGCAAACAGCTATGCAAGAAGAGTCTCTGGCATACCCGCTGATCGAATTGTCTTGTTTCTTTACGTTTCTCACTCTGGTGTGTTATATGTGAAAGCCCGAGCAAGTCCCTGCCCCTTGCAACATGTGATAACACTCTCGCGTGTATGGCTTCCAAAGAAGCAAGGGGATGATGGCCCTCGAACCTGTCACCCCCTCCCCCTTGCCCTCGCCCAAGGAAAGACTGTGTGGTACGGCTGGAAAAAATAGGCAGGCAGCATTAGCAAAATACCGGGACATTCATGCCTAAACATCACCCTTCCCCCTCAGCCATCCCGCATCTTCCCGTCATCCTCATGGTTACATCCCGTCACCGGCGGCAACGGGAAAACGAAGGGGGGATGGCTGGCTGGCTGGCTGGCTGGAAGAAAAGAAAGATACGCGGGAGACCCTCTTGTCTCTAGGCCAGGCAGGTGATTCACCCCTCTCACCCCCTCGGCGTGTCGGGAGACGGAAAAAGCTCCGTGACACTATTCTGGGAATTTGTGAGACGGGAGAAAGACGATAATCTGCGATGCTGCTCTCGCCGCGCCGGTTCGCGTTGGGATAGTGACGAGAATGACAGAACAATATTTCTAACGCGGATAGACACCTCCCAGCGATGGTCTGGCGGGATCGAGAACCGTCAATGTGTGTGAGCCGTCAATGCGTGTGAGTATATCCATGTGTGTATATGTCCACCTGAACCTCCCACGAAGGAGAGTATTCAACATCCACCAAGTGGAGTGATCAATTAGGCCCAAGACACATAGAAAACTCCGTCAGTAACCAGCCCCCTCCCCTTTATCCTTCACCCCTCCTTTCCAAGCAAGGAACGGCGAGCCCCTACATCCCACACGCCCCTGGCTTCTCGTCTCTACACAAGACACTATTTCCCATTGACACACTGGCCTCTCCCCACCCCACCCCTCGACGTACAAGGGGGATCTTTATCGTCCCCTCAGTCTAGCGCTCTTTGGGCCTATGGAATGTCCGGATTCCGTCATGAGGAAGCTTTTGAGGTGTGATATGTGACAGGCAACCTCCCGAACATGGAGCTTGCCGGCTCAACAGACCAAAGGATAAGTCTTGCGTCAGACGATGACGATGGACAATATAAAAATCACGAGGAATGAAGCCATTACGAGGCGAGACCCTTTACACCCCACCCCCCCTTTCCTCTGCGCCAAGATTTCCACAACATTCAAGTGGGCGGCTATGTATCCGTACAGCATACCTCTTTTGATTGTCTCCTCGTAGTGAGACGTGTCACTAGCGAGCCGTTGGGGATGGCAGAGAGAGAAAGAGAGAGAAAGAGAGAGAGAGAGAGAACCCCCCCTTTGCCCTCCCATGGTTTGTTTGTGTGTTTCCACCTCAGCCGGCTGCCAAACCAGAAAGAGCGGGTTGTCGATGGTGTGTCTAGGTAAAACATGTGGCCTGCCGCGTTTGTGTATATACGTCCCTCACAGCCCAACCCCCCCTTGGGGCTGACTTATTCCCAGATCCTGAGGCAGCCTCGCGGGCTCAGAGTAGGTAGACGTGCATGCCTCCGACCCAGAGTCAACATGGGCAGAGGATCGGCCGCGTTAGCCCTTTGGCTTCCCATGGAGCTGGAATCCATCCTGTTCGAGCCCCGAGCTCCCAGGAGGATGGAGAGGCAGAGCAAGGCAAGGAAGACAGGGTGTTGATGTGATGGAAGCGCAAGGAGAGACGCCGGATCTGCGAAGGCGGGTGTGATCCCTGACGGAGATCACTACGATTTATTATTATATGCATTCATACTTCTTTTTTTTGTACGAGAGAGATCTCTCACAAGTTCCCTTGGAGACTTGCATGCCCGTCTCACTTACGGGGAGGGGAGGGGCTGCCTCCCATTGCAGGGCGGGATCTTCATCCGGGATGCACGCCGTCAGATCATGTCCTGGGACGCATCCACAATTGGATCTGTAGTGACATGCTGTGTCTATTTGGACCCCCTCATGCTCTCTCTTCTTTGGGTTCAAAGGCTGGTCATGGAGATCGTCGACCCCCCCCCTCCTTTTGGCCCCTTGTATGGAGTACACAGAACAACATCAGACGCGCCGGTCTTCGTCCGCAAGGGTTTCCTGGAAGGGTGACATAACGCAGGTGCGCCAGCGGCCCTTGATCTGCCAAGCTGGAAGGGGAAACCATCTCATGAGGTGGCCTGCGAAAAAGGAATGATTCCCGCCTGGTTGCCGAATCGCCGAGGCGCCGCACCGCGCCGCCCTCGCATCCCTTGACTGCCGCTCGTCCGACGGGGGTAAGTCATGAACCTAGCGATACGCCTCAAGGAAGGGGAGTGATGGAAGAGTCACTCTCAGCAGAATGTGTCTCGCGGGTCTTCACCTCGCCAGCCCCCCCCCGGGCGGCCTGCGGCGGGCTGCGTCTCGTGCCACCCTAAAGCCCATATCGGGGAATGGGCAGGGAGTCTGAGCTCCGTAGATTTCGCGCGGGTTGTGATTGGGCGGGCGATGCAAGGGCCTTGCAAAGTACACTACACGAGGCTGCAGGCACCAAATGACCACCCGGACACGTCTCCGGTTCCGCGCGGTTGGGTTCCGGCGCCCCATCAACAGGGTGGGGGGGCTGAGATGTATTGGGCTGAGATGTATTGCCTGGTCCAGGCCCCGTGATCGTCTCGCCCGCGTGCCTTGTCAAGGTCGATGCCGTCGGGCTGGGGGACTGTGGTCATTGCCCGCCGAGGGGTCTTGAAGGGGCGGGTAGGGGATAAGATGATAAACCCATGGGTGTTCCTCAGGTAAAGGCCGTAATGGTACCTCTGCGTCTCGGCCGTATAAGCGTCACACATGGCAGATGATAGATCCCTCATTGGAGAGGGGTGTATGGGAGCTGAGAAGAACTACTGATAACTGACAGAAGCTCGCCGTGGTCGTGGGATTTTCGCCCCTACACTAGCTTCGTCCCCCAAACCATGCAATTCGCCGAGGGGCTATTATTGCTCAAGATAAATGGGCGGCGGAGGGTTATGGACGCTGCCTATAATACCCAACCATTGAGAGGGGATTAAGTGGCACACAGTCAAAGATCCGATGATGTAGACTAGCGAGGGTGTTTGATTTCCGGACCACTTACCTGCCAATAGTTTTTCATAATGACCAGGGAAATTAATCACCTTTGGTTTGTGATGCCTAGATCAATGCCAGCCGCCGAAAAAGCAAGCATAGAGAAAGGTAGGACGCCTCCTCCAAACCATTCAACGGGTAGTTGGCAACCCTACCGAAGATCATACTCCAGCAGGGCGGCAGGCCTTGAGCCCATTGTTCGTTGCCAGGCTGTTTGCTCCTTGACGACTGTCTCTAACCGCACGCAAAACTTGCTTCTCCCTGGGGAGGTGTCGATATGTTCAAATTTGTCATTGCTGGGCAAGTCAAAGACCAGCTTGTTGTCTTCTTCTTCTTCTCGGGAGGCGCTGCGGCACGTGCCTAGACGGCCTCCGTACTCCAATGGGACCTGTATTCAACAGAGGGCCGATGGGCGTCATGGTTCATTCTACCGCCTCAGACCTTGGGCTTGCCGTTGGCGCTAGGGTTCTTCTGGCGAGAAGTTTAGTAGTAGTTAGAGTCTTAGACGACCGAGTATAGGATGAGTATCGACTCGATATGTCAGCGCCGGAATATTGTTGCGAGGGATCGTCCAGCATAGAGAGGCCACTGCCCTCGATCGAGCTGGGTGTTGGCATCCAGGAACTGTTGACCGCTTAGCCATCATGTCAGCGCCGCGTACATTGACGGTATTTTTGTTGCGCGTGTGAGACCCCGTACCCTGGACATATTGGCAGTAGTAATATGACGAGAACGAGGCGGGCGATCCCCCCTCCCGGGGCACCTATCATCGCCTGGAAGTCGAACATACCGCTCACTCATTGGCCTCCCTTAAGTCTGGATGTCCTCGTGGCGAGTTCAACGCATGTGTTCGTCATCGGGAAGAGGGACAGTTCATGCTAGAATATTATTTCCTGATTCGGACTTGAAGGGGGAATTGATTTAGACCAGGTGAAGACACCAAACGCCTGCAAAAAATAAAAATAAAAAAAATACCCCGAATTCCAAACCACCCCGGTTCCCATAAGCCCTGTCCCGACCATGCTTCCAGTCCCAACGCCGCTGGTCATGAAACGACCGGTAAACAATACCAACGATGAGAAGATCCCGAGCCCCTTGAAGACTCGGACGGAAGAAGGAAAGACAAAGAGAGGAAAAAGAAAAGAAACAGGAGAAGGGCGGCTTGGCGGAACCCATGAAATGAAAGTCTTTGCTCATTTGAAATCAACGCCCGACGTTATAGATCTGAGGTCGCACGGAATTGCAAGCAGCCTCAGCCTGGCGCGTCCGAGGGCGGAAAAAGAAACGAGCATGGATCGCTAGATTGAGGGCTGATCAGACAGCGCAGGAATGTCACTCCCTGCCCGGGTAGAAAAGACCAATGGGGTTCCAGGGACAGGGTGTCGAGAGCCTGGTGGTGTTGCTCAGTTGTGTTGCAAGACACAAACACACACCACCTTGTTGTTGGCCAAAGGTATCAATGTGACAGGTCGCACGGGAAGACAAAAAGTTTTCCCCAAGAGCACGCCGCCCTCTCAGCCCGCTTGACGTCTGCCCACCCCCGCCCGTCCCAGAGACCGATACCGGGCACACCAGGGACTGAGACAAACCACTCAGTGCATGTGAGCCGGGAGTAGGCCAGTCAAGTCAAGATCCGTCCATAATGGCCGAGAAGGCGTACCGGGGGTCGGGCTGGCTTCGGACTCGGGCAATCTCATTAGGCGCAAAGATCTCGCTGAAGATTTTGAAGTCGCTTTTGTGGCTGGAAGAGCTGCTGCTCGAGCCCGATGACGACGACGAACTCTTGGACTTGCTTTTCGAAGAGCTGCTGCTGCTGGTCCCCTTCGTCTTCTTGGCAATGTCGTCGAGAATGTACTTGGCCGTGCACTGCCTGTCGTCTTCGAAGGCGAACATGACGGCGAGGAACTGCCCCCTCAGCTCCGGGTCATAGAGGAAAACGTCGCGCCACAGCTCGGCCAGCTCCTTGGGCGGGTTGCGGTATCCGTTGCCGAGGCCAAAGTCGCCAATGACCACGTGGTTGTAGCCGTTGAAGACGCAGATGCGCAGCGCGGCTCGCATCTTGTTCCGTACCAGCTCTCGCTCCTCCGAGAAGGAGTATTTTCTTCCGTGGTCCGTTAGCTTCGGCCATCTTGCTGGCGGCATGGAAATGACCGGGAGCGACCTCCAGTCCTTCATATCCAGCGACTCGATTCGGTCTTGGAACTGGCGGAAGCGGACTTTTGAGGCGCGAATTAGCAATCTGCAACCAACCAAAGGTTTAAGACCGAGGGTTTATTCCTACCGACATCAGGGGAGTAGATGGCCCCTTCGATCGGGATCGGATAGTTGGTCGCCTGGTAGGATTCCGGATGGGGTGTGCCCAGTGTTGCTGACAGGTTACTGCGGCGGCATAATCTCTCCTGCAACGCTTTGAGTCAGAACTGGTCGGGCCTGGATCACAAATGTCTGCCATAGTTACCTCATAGCCAACTACACCAGTCTCCCAGTCACCTCCTGGTCGTTTCTCATTCGCGGCACAGATGAATGGGATGCGAACGCCTTCGGTCTGAGCCCAACCTAGGGCGCAGTCGACAGGATCACTGTGGACGACATCTAGTATTGTTAGCTGCCATGCCCCTCTTATGGATGGATGGATTGGTCTTGGTGTTGCTCACAAAACTTGGGCAGGTCTGAGCTAATGAAGCTTGGGCGGGTGAGATGGAGTTGAAGCAGTGGTTGGGCGTAGAGAATGGAGTATGGGGGCCATTCCTCGCGGAAATGTCTGTTGACCTCTGGGATGAGTTTCTTCTTGGTATCGGCGGCGACTTCTGAAGGCTTGATCTTTAAAGGCTTTGAAGAAGGCATTGTGGGCTCGACAGAGTTACCAGTACCTTGAAAGGAAGAGTGACGGACAAAGGCTGGATCCCTGGTAGTAGAAGTCTAGTAACTGGAGAAGCTCTGGGGAGTGTGTATGGCTCGAGAGTGAAGAAACCAATGTGGGCTTGGATATGGGCGCCTCCTGCGACCTTAAATATCTCTCTGCAACGAACAGCAAATCTACAGTCGATATAGAATGCGGCTTGTAGGCCAGCCGCGTGGAGGGCAGAAAAAGAAACAATGACATGGTATCCCAATGCCCTCTACGGAGGAATTGCTTTGCCTCTCCAGGAAGCGAGAGCGGTGAAGGCTGGACGAGGGGAGTGTAACCAATACTTGCCGGATCTCAGTCACGTCTGCGACATTCCAGGGTAGTGTGTAGGAAGGGCGCGCAGAGGGTGGGTGGGTTTGCCGTGGTTGTGATGTCTTGCTTATAGAGAAACCCGGGTGGTGTCACGTCAAGCTTCCCGTGGTCTTGGTAAGTGGAAACCGATCGAGATACTACTGCAATCTGCCGCAGTCATACGAGATCTTACTGTGTACCAAGATCTGAACTGAGGCGATCCTCCCAGCCGGGGAAGCCCCATTGGGAAAGGCAGTGCAACAAGGGTCGATGGTCCATGGTCCATGTCGACTAGGGGGGGAGGGGGGTGGAGAAGACATGTCGACGAGGTCCCAGCCAAGGTGTCTAGGGAAAGGGAAAGATGGCGAGGGAGAACAGGATGCGAGGGTCGGATCGGCCATGCCTGGCAATGCCTTGTAGCTTCTTTAGGTTGGGCTAGTCTCTGTGCTAATAAGCAATAAGTTGGGTATGAGAGAAGCAAGAAAAAGAAACCCAGCATTGTGGTTCTTGGACCCCCACTTGAGGAGAAGATTTGCCAGGGATTAGACGCGGTGAAGAAAAGCATAGACATTCATCTGGCGAGACAAGAAAGATGCCGTCGGGAGATGACAAGGCTTCCATGTTTGCCTGTTTGCTCTCCCGTGAGTCAATCCGAGTCGAGCCTGGCTGGCCATCTCTGCGTGGACCAAGGTTCCAGTCAAGCTTTGATCCACAGTCTCTCTGGGCTGCACCGGGAGTCTCGATGCAAACGGGCATGGCATGACGGAAGACGAGCAAGTAGGTGGACGGAGACTCGGCCGCATTCCCAGGGCCATATCATGGGATTGCGAATTAACGACTAACGACTGCATTGCCCCGAGAACCATCATCCATCAACCGGCAGCCGTGGCCACTGTTTGGTGTCTCGGGAGTCGAAGGCGGAGCTGAGCAACAGCAATAATACGACTCGAACGGTCAGTCTGTCTAGACTCGGGCCCGGGTTCCTGCAACAAGTCGGACCGCAATTTGGAACATTCATGCTGTGTTGTACGACGATCTTTGTCACTGGTTTTCTGCCGGAGACAGAAACGGAGAAGTAGATCAGAGCCGGGAGAGCTGGAGAACCAGGGATATGGTCCTGGAATGGGGAGACGAAGGTGTTTGTGGTGAAGGCGATGCAGAAGACGGAGAGGAGAGTGTCGTGAGGTGCGCAGGGGAGAGACAAGAACGTCACTGAGAGATATCGGTACGTACCTGCTGGCGATGCTCCTTTGGTCTTATCTGAGATAAGGCTCTGCTTATATAAGCATATAAGTCCCGACAACCTATCAGCTTCCATTCACCACCTAGGCTGCCAGGTAGGCACAGGAGTGCTTACCTCCCTGTTGGTACCTATCTTGTCGCCGTGCGGGACTTGGCCGTGTGGATGTACTTTGTTCTGCATACGATTTGCTGCGGTTTCAACGTACGAGTACAAGCCTTGTCCTCCCCAGCAGTATCCACTACCTAATTGAAGCTTCCCATTGGTGCTTATCAGCTACTATTTTAGCTTCGAGGTCGAACCTCAGTCACTAACTTCATTGCCATGTCGTCGCGATACTTCGTCTTCGTCCCTTGCGCCGCCGCCATATTTCGCAATTCCACCTTGTCTAACATCACGCCAAACCCCTCCTTTCTTGCCTTCCCTTCGGTGCTCGCTGGCTCATCTTCTGACTCCCTTGCAACATGCGACGGTAGTTGAGGCAGTCAAGTTCCTTTCCCAAAGATGCGAATCCCAGCAATCATGTCCATGTCCTCCTCAAGGCTCGGGGGATTCCTCCTCTCGGCGCAGCCCCTCGGTCGACGACAGCTCTCGACTGCGCCGCGGAAGACAGTCGCGCAGTTTTTGGACTGGAAACCCGAGACGGAAGTCAAGGATGTCGTCCTCAACGGATACGTCAGATCTGTCAGGAACATGAAGACGGAGCGCTTCGTCAACGTGGGCGATGGCTCCTCCCGGACGCCCATCCAGGCGCTGGTCCCGAGGAGCCATGACGAAAGGTGGGCTCATCTCGGCTCTAGTAGCTTGTCTCTGTCCCGGAAAGTTGGCTTTGTTGACAGTCTTCCAGCGCAAACTTGCGAGTCGGTGCCGCAGTCCGCCTACGCGGGTCATGGGTTCCCTCCAAGACGGAAGGCCAGAGTCACGAATTGAAAGTCCATCATGTCGAGATTCTCGGCCCCTCTGACGCCAAGGCGAGTTGTTATTGTTATTATTATTATTCTTCTCCCTTACCTTATCTCAAACTATGTGCTCTAACATGTCTCTCGGAATAGACGTTTCCCATCCAGAAAAAGTACCAGACGCCCGACTACCTCCGTACCATGCCGCATCTTCGTCCCCGAATACCCTTGAACGCCGCCATCTTGCGTCTGAGATCGGAGGCCATCGCCGTCTTGACTCAGTTCTTCGCCTCTCGGTCATTTGTACAAACCCATCCGCCCATAATTACATCCTCGGACTGCGAAGGAGCAGGAGAGGTGTTCAATGTTACCACGGGCTCCGCCGAGACATCAACGACCCCAATGAGTAGCGGCAAGGACAAGGCGGCAGGCAATCTGTTCTTTCGTTCCCCCAAGTATCTCACTGTCTCGTCGCAACTTCATCTCGAGGCTTTGGCACAGTCGCTGGGTGACGTGTGGACCCTGTCCCCAACTTTCCGGGCGGAACGGAGCGACACCTCGAGACACATGAGCGAGTTCTACATGTTGGAAGCCGAAATGAGCTTTATTGACAGCATGGACCATGTCATGGACCTCGTCGAGGACATGCTCCGCAGCTTGGCCACGGGTCTATACAAGACTCGGGCTGCACAGGAACTGCGCCAACGGCGAGAGTCTGGCCAAACCCGTACAGCCGAAGACGACCTCGTGCCGATGGAGCAAGTGGAGCGTCGGTGGTTGGGGTTGATGCAGAACCCAACCCTCAAGTGGCCGCGCATCACCTACGCCGACGCCATCAGGATGCTTCAGGCAGAGCAAGGCCGGTTCGAGCACAAGCCTACATGGGAAGGTGGTCTACATTCAGAGCATGAAAAATTCCTCGCCAAAAGCCTTGGTGCCACCAACGACCCCGGCGCTTACTCCCCCGTCTTTGTCACCCACTATCCAAGGGAGATCAAAGCATTCTACATGCGAAGATCGAACCCTTCAGCTAGCATCTCTGAGAAGTCTGGTGACACGGTCGACTGTTTCGACCTGCTTGTACCTGACTTGTGCGAGATTGCCGGTGGCTCCATGCGTGAACATCGTTTGGAACCCCTCTTGGAAACCATGCAAGCCCGCGGAATGGGCTCTCCATCCGTAGATGGACGTGGAAGCCATTCCGGTGGCGATCTGGACTGGTATGTCGACCTCCGCCGTTGGGGCTCCAACCCTCATGGTGGATTCGGCCTGGGCTTCGACAGACTGCTCAGCTACCTCGTGGGCGTTCCAAACGTCAGAGACGTTGTGGCCTTTCCACGCTGGTTTGGCCGATGCGACTGCTAAGTTCTACCGGATGAGAGGAGGGCCTTGGATAATTCGCTCGCCGCTTGTGCCGTCTACCGACACAGGCCCTCGTTAAGCTTTGCCTACCTGGGATTCTGGAAGTCGAGCCGGATGAAACACTCGCAATCTACGTTACACGGCGATCGGCTCACTCGTCCTACTCAAGTGGTCAAGTCGAACAAACAATCACCTCGTCCATGTGCGCTGTGTGGCGACTATTCTACCTGGTGGGTTGCCTCGGCCAGACGACCTGCCCCTCCCAAGTTTAATGTTTCATCCTCCGGCAGTATGCAGATGACAGGACGAGAAATTCACGGGGTAATCACGCGATGTTGCACGACGGACGGGAACAGGCAATCGGTGTCTTGGTACCAGCCTGGCCCTAAGACGCGAAGAACACGACTGCATCCGACCGAACGGAGCCGACGATGGCCGCTCCCTCGACAGGGAGAAACCATCAGATATGACGCTCTGTATAGCGAAGTGCGGCAAGCAAGATGTTTATTGCCCCGGCCATTCACCCCGTACGCGTCGCCCTTCCCCGTGCCGTGTGCGCTACGGAACACATGTTCAATTGCATTGTACTCAACCCATGGGCCGACGTTCGTGTCACATACCACGGCCCAAGGCTTTGTATCAATATCTTGTACAATACTTTATCACACGTCTCGATATCTCTCATTTATTGACCCAGCTTGCCTCGTTGTCAAGACTGAGGGAATTGGTATTAGCCATCGTCATGACACGCTCGAGGTCTTCCCGTCAATAGATTATACCTTTCGGGAGCTAGCGAAAGATGGCATCAAGGACAAATGGGGCGCAGTACTAAACTGGGCGTCTTCTCGAGGGCCCGGTGTCTTGAGAGATTCTAAGGCGTCCACGGCGATGAACATTCTGGTGATATACCTTACAACAAATGGTCTCACTTGTTTCCACCACACCTTGCTGTGACAGCTTACATGCTAACAAGTCAGCATTAACCAAGTAACGTCCTGATGCGACAAACAGGTAGGACATCTGACGGCATCTGGCTGTCGACATCAGCGTCTTGTCAATCGCCTAGCCAGGCTGGCCTCGATGCTTGAAATGCCGTTGAAGAAGGTCCTAAATATGGGAGATGAAGCACAGCGAAAGGTCTGCCTAGACGACGCCATATAATGGACGGTCAAGACTCGTAACGGCTTTGGATCATTCATCGCTAGCTACGGCCTGGATAGAAAACTGGCCACTCTGCAATTATTCGACCGTATGACCCGTGAAACTACGGCGGCCTTTACCAAGACCGCATGGTTCAGTGGGTATCCGAAGAGGAGACAGGGCGATAGTATTCGACCCTTTTCCAACTGAAGCGTTACGATGCAGTCACCATGCGGCCGAGGACAGTTGAACCTCTACCTTGTGTCACCGTAGGCCTCGGTCCGGGTACAGAGAAAAAAAAAAAGGCAACGTCAGGCCATGGCCGTGTCAACAAACGCAGAGCATCAGATCATTCCACGGTCTCAAGCCGAACCCAAATTGGCCGGTGTTCCAGTGCGCATCCAGACCATGGCACAGAAACTGTGGTACAACGACAGCATGCCAGACGAGGTAGCCGGCGGGACTGTTGAGTACTCGGACAAGAAGACACCAAGAGCGGCCCCCACTATCTACGACATTCTACTAATGCCAAGGGATGAGCCTCTCTTGGACAACAAGGTCTTTGTCCTCGTTATTTCCGTGCACGCCCACCTTGGCAGTAGTGTGGTGAGTCCCCGTTGGGACTGAGCGGCTTGCTAGGATTCGAACACGGATCCGCCAAATCTGCCAAGCACCTTGGATCTTGCTTGGCAAAGGTTTTGAGCCAACGGCAGGCGTGCTTCTTGGGCTATATTACTATGTATACACGTAACAGGAAGAAGCAACAAGTTGGTACAGTGGCACGCGCCTGAGCGGTGTGGGGGGGAAACCTGGCTAGGGACAAGACCCTCCTACGATCAACGAAGATGGTGTCACCATGTAGCAATGGTCAAGAAGAGAGTGAGGAGCATCGTGGAACAACCAGCCATTGGCGTAGTATCAGTATCGTCTCTTGACGGGTTCGCCCCCACCATGTCCAACAGTCAAACCGTCAAGCCAGAGAGTATCTCCCGCTTAGACTTGGGGGCCACGGGGATACTGCCATTCTAGGAGCGGGAACATGGACAGGGAACCCGACGGCCGGTGGGGAGGGACACCCCCCAAGGGCCCGAAGAGGACAGAAGATGCGCAAAAGCTTCGCCTGAAGTGGAGAGTCGGAGGAAAGCCTCGATTAACAATCCAGTCCAAGCGTTCCATGTTTTTGCGGCAGCTGTCGAGATGGCCTTACTCACGGCAATTAGTTGCGGCGTCTTCTTTGCGACGGCTGACTGGAGCATATCGAACTTATCGACAAGCCCCCGATCCCTCGGAAAAGGCCCACCGCCCGAAGTCCGCTGCTGCCCACAACGCGAGCGATTGTGGAGGAGGGATTGTGGATTGAAGAAGGGAAGATTCATAGGTATGCTAAAGGCGGGTGGGTGGGGTGACTGGCGCGGACAGGTTTGTTGGTTGGTTGGTTAGTGATGGTGAGGGAATATGCGAAGGGCCGCCATGATGCTAACCACGATGGCGCTCCGCCGTTGGAGACTAGCGCAGAAACCTTCAACCTTTGCTGATTGCTAAAGTGTTCGTTCTCCGAGGGCCGCGCGTCAGCGAACCAAGTGGAAGAGAGCTTCAGCTTCGTCTTGGATAGAACGAACACACACGCACACACACACACACACACACACACACACCCCTCCACCTCCCCTGGGTCCGTTGGTCCCACCACCTATCCTACTCATCAAGACACAGGTACCCGATGGCTTTTCTACCGCAGCCGACGAAGCATTCGTTTTCGTACGCAAGGCAGGGGGGATGACAGAGTCACAGAATAGAGGGTGGGGCGCGGTGGGCGCATCGAACGAATGAAGGCCGAGATGGCGTGGTGCTGCTATCGAGCATCGAATTAAGCTTAAGCACACGCTCGGGATCGTTGTGGGAAACGGGCCAAGAGCAGCAGCCCAGGATGGATGCTGATTTGTGCCGAATCACGGCCTGTGCGTGGCTTTTTCTCCTCATAGCCAGGGAGGCATGGCGCGAATCATGCCCTCCTCATCCAACTCGTTGCAACGGACATGCCGTATTAGAAGGAGTTCAATCAATACTTTGGAGGTCACAGGGCGTAGTGCCAGGGTGGTCCGATAAGCAGACGTCCAGGTTTCCATATCTGATCACATGCGGATACTGGAATGGAAGCCTGCCATCAAAACAACAAAGACAGTTTCATCCAGTCGTTCGGAAGCATGGGCGGCATCCATGTCCTAAGAACCGAGAGTGACATCGACCACGCGACGAGGAAGAGACGGGGGGGAAGCCCACCAACAGGCTAAGGGGAACTTGTCCTCTACCATAAGACGACATAGTACGACGATGGTTCGAGGACAATACCTGTGTTGACATGGAAAAGTGGGTGTGTATGGGAAGGCCCCGTGAACGCCGACTGGAACACCGGCGCCGAGTCAAAATGTCGACCCCCCCTTCGGCAAGCGGGCCATGACACCCTGATGCTTTTCATTTACTTTTTTTATTTTATTGTTTTTATACCTCTTTGGGGTTGTCGTCAACCTGATAAGGTGCATACAAATAGGATGGCTTTGAGGGGCCATCGGGACCGATTTCGCTTACGATGGAAATCTGTATTTCTCATCTTCCGCTTCGAGTCACCATCTCCACTCAACGAGCTACGAGCTGTTGGATTCATGCCCAGCAGCACTGCCTCAGTGATAGATGCATAAATCCGGCGGCCACCTGAACTGAAATAGCCTAGGTCTCTTCATAGTCTGTATGGGGTGGGCCAAACCGACGTACCGGGTCTTCTTGGGCGCCGCCGTTGGTCATGGGGAAGGGAGGGGTGTGGCCGACATAGCCGGGCGACCGTCCAATAATGGTGTCCTCGACCGGCACCGTCTCTTGTGCCGTTTAAGCAGAAATCACCATTCAATATCATTCATCACCGCCCCGCCCCGACTCGCGCACTCATCCTAGGCTACCTGCCCGTTCGGCTCGAGGCCTAAGCAAGCAGGGCTGAAAGGAACTTTCGTTGGGCTGGGGTGACGGATCCTTCAGTTGATGCTTCCATGCCGCAATTTCCATGGTTATGGTCAAGCTTCCGCTTGGCTTGACTAGTCAAAGTCAACCAAGAAACCACCCATGTCTCGTTCCCATATTTCCCGCCCTCCGATGGAAGAAGCGAGGCGGGAAATTGCCCGACGGCCTGAGAGGACGGAATAGAGTTGGGAAGCGCGAGGTTATTGCTCGACAGCATGTCGTGTCGAGGTTGCCGCTAACGCATTCGGCGCAAGGGTCCGGACACGCCCGCATCTCTCGCGATCCCGTCGAGCGCTACAGACTGGCCGCCACCGTAGGGTCGGGAAGTCCTTGAGTGCCTCGAAGGCGTCTTCTGCGAGGGGCGTCGAGGGCAACAAGGGCAAGGCAGCCGTCCGCGCATATCTCATCTACCTGGGGAGGCGGTGATGCTGCGAGTGCCGCCGTGACTGTGCTCCGCGCTGCTCCGGCAGCGTACCGTTCTTCTCCATGCAGAGATAATGGTCTCACGTTATGGTAAGGATTGCTCCCATGGGGAGGGATGCCGCACCGCCGCCCACCCAGCCAGCCGGGCCGTTGTCGCTCGCGTCACCCGGCGTGTGACATCTTTCATGATTGACAGCCTAAGCCTAGTCAGGACCGTTGTCAACATACCTCGCGCTCACGCGACCTCCCCTCCCTCAAGCGAGGTGCGGCCCCGCGAACCCAGCAGACGGGTTCTGGCTAAAGTGGTCGGGAATCCGATGCCATCTCGCCTACGAGTTCCAGCTGGGTGTTGCCCTCGCCTGGTGACACCCCCTCTTTCGACACCGACAGGCTTAGCACTAGGACCCTGGACTCGTTCGTATGCGACCAACGGGTTCGAACCATCCCTCTATCTCTCTCGGAGCAGATACACACGAGCTAGCGCATTCCGAAAAAAAAAATGGCTTGGCGCCAGAGCCCGCCAGGCGCTCAGCCAGTAATCGATTGCATCAACTGGTTGAGCCCTGATACACCATCGACATGCGGCCGTCGACGAGTAAATCGAGTTATACGCCGCTTCCCACGCGACGCACTAGCGAATGGCTTCGAAGCCACCAATGAGCTGACATCACTCCTGACCTGGCCCGGAACGGCTAGATGCCTCAGCTCGGCTGCCATGCTGAGAATCCGGGAGGCTGGGTGCAACTCCTGAGCTGATGCATGTACAACCCCGAGTTTGCTCCCCCCCCCCCCCTGTGGGCTTGTTTGACGGGTGAAATGAAGGTTATCAGATATCTCGGTCCTCGAAACGTCGGCCCGTCTTCGCAGCAAACAGCACCGCACCGCACCTCGGCTGACTCGACCGACGAAGCGTCAAGGAAGAAATCATGGACGTATGCACAAACGGGACGGACTAGGTCAAAGCCTCGCTGCTGCTGCGCCGTACAGCTGGAGAGCGTCTGGCCAAGATTAGCACGAGAGTCTCTCCGCGGATCTGGAATCACGCCATGTTACTCGCACCGGCAAACAGAGATAAACACACTCTCGCAGTCCAGAGATGACGCCCTGATGATGGGGATGGGAGAATCAGGCTTAGCGTCCAGTGGCGGCGTCGACGACGTCGACTCCAAGATGGAGGCGCCTACCCGGCCGACTTAGACAACCAAGGCCGTCGAGGGGGCAATCACGCTGATGACGGCAGTGCGCGGGTTTTCTGGGTAGGTGGAGGGGGCTCGGCCTTGGCAAAACGGCCGGACGGTGACAGTCTCAAGTGACTCTCGGCGACTAAACGGATCATCAAACGTAACTTTGTATTCGGGCGCCCACAAAAGTAAATGGATGAGAGAAAAAGAAGAGAGGCACCCGTGCCCAGTCCCGGCTTCGCTCATTTCCACAGTTGCCATCTTGACGATGCAAACAGGCTCCGGGCTAAGCAAGACACTATACAGGGACTCTACTCTCTACGTGTGGCCCCCGGCAGCAAGTCAAGAAATGACAAGTGACGAACCCACTTGAGTTGCGCGCCACTTAACGTCACGACCAGGACGGTCACCTCGAAAGCGGCGTCTGGTTTTGTTCCGTCTCGTCCAAATGAAGGGGGGAGGAATCAGCGGTTGGTACTACTATGTGCATGGTAGACTACTACGGTATCGGGCCAAAGTTTAACCCCCTCGTCAGGTAAATGTGGCCGTGCTTTTTGATTATCCCAGCGACGGTACTTTGAGCTTCTTGTGCACATCTATCATAATTTTGGCCAGTGAGAGTCTCTCGTACGTGGGTCACAACTCCACACTACCTGCTAGGGAGTTTATACTTACCCATCATACGTAGTACGGTCTAGAACCGGGATCCTATTCATGGCTTCAATGCGCGAGGGAATTAAATAATTTGTGCATAGCACGGACAGAAACCCCGGACGACGTTAATCTTTATTTCCCACCCCAAAGGCCGGCCTCCCCCCACACACCCGTCTGGTCTCTTCGGCCTCCCCTTCTTACATTTTTAGAGTTAGGGTTTGGGCTGTCACGGCACATCCGTTTATGCGCACCGAGTCATGGGGACGTAGGGCCCTGCACGGTAATATATATCTTTTGTACAGACATACAGTGAGGTGTCGCAAGTCTCAGATCACCTTACAGTGCACCACATTAAATCCACTAACCTACTACCTTGATGATACCTAATAACTTACTACCTTAGGGAAAAAACTCGTTATTTTTCTTATAAATTTGTTACGGGCTATGCCTGGTCAATTGGCATGGGCTGAAGCCCATCGCGATTGCTAGTTGCCTTTATAAGTGCTGCTAGACTACAAGTTGCTGACTTGTAGTTACGTACCTTTTGACTATTCTGCCGGGTGGCTTAATTAGTAGTGTTGCGCGTGTGCGCGTGCGTCTAGGCCCATCAGAGGGCTAGGCCTATCCCACTATACACTGAAGGCCGTGATATGCTGGCAGCCGTACTTCGCCCACACTAGTGGGCCTAACCCTTTACAAAAATATATTTATAACGATCTATTATAGTTATTTATTAATTTACTTTATCTTGAAAAGACTAAGTTTAAGAGTTATAGTAGATCAACAGAAAAGCCTTATAGAGATAGTTTTAGCCCCTAGTAAATATAGTACTAACCATACCGTTTTAACACTATAGTCTACTATAACTAAAGCTCCCCTTAAGACTATTACTTAAATACTTTATTACTTGATTACTAAGCTTCTAAAGCTAAAAGTATATTAGTAAACTAATACTTAAAATACTTAAACTATCTATCTATATTTATATATTTACTTTTAGGTATATAGACCTTAAGCTATATAGCATAAGATTATAGTGCTTAAGGTGTACACTGTGTGATTGATCTTTGACTCATGACCTGCTACTTTATGTAGCAGGGCTTTGGCACATTATTTGTCGTAGAGGCTCGTGGGACCTTGAGCTGGGCCGATTCTTGTTCTCTTTTTTTTTTCTTTTTTTTTTTCAGGTTTCGGCCGCTCGGTTTGGAGCGGCGTATAGAAAGAGGGGTTTGGGCAGGGCGTGTGTACTATGCATCGGTGGCTTTCCATATACCCCTGCTGTTTCCGTTTTCTTATCTTTATTCCGATCTTGATTAGTATCTACTTAGGAACATGCGCCCAGATGGAGTTGGGAGCCTTGGACCCACGGTCTTGCGATGTGTCACTTGGGGCTGTCGGAGTTGACGGGTGTGTTCAAAGGTTTCTCTTTTTTTTTCTCTTTTTCTCATCGGCCTTGTTCCGAGGGGTCACTGACGGTCGTCCGTTGGGAGTAGAGGCTTCATCGGGCTTCAGGTTTACGACAACCCAAAGTCAGCATACGTAGCTGAGCATATGGCCGTGGAGCAACATGCTCACAACCTAGAGGTCGGAAGATGCCGTGCTGCTAAGTGTGTCTACGGAGTGCAGGAGTACGGATACTTCGTACACGTAGTCTTTACATTCGCTCGGACGGCAGAGTTTGCCTCCCCCTCCCCCTTCGTGCAGGATCGAATCCACTTCCAAGTACTTTGAATCGCCCTTTGTAAACAACGACACCCATGGAAGCATGTCAGACTTGGGAATGTTGGAGCCTGTGGCCACTGACTAAACTAGCGCATGTGGAACTTCGAACATGGGATGGCGGGAAGGTTCGGTATATCGTAAGCAACGCCGTATGTTTGGTAAGAAATCCTGGCTTGCTGGCTGGCTGACCTTGTCCGGGCTGACGCTGCCGTCATCTTTTGGACATTGCGGCACGGGCGGGCACAGTCATCGTCTCGGGCGTCAGAGAGCCGACTTGGAAAGGAAAGCCAAGCCGTGGCGGCCCTTGCTTGGCCCGAGGGAGGAGGGGGAATGTTTGTAAGAATAGCCCTGTTGGTTCGTTCATTCGGGTTATTCTTTGAAGCGTCGCGTCGCAACACCTCTCTTGGCTTTTCCATCTTATCGCCTTCGCGGGAACTCTCTTCCCAGGACGAGATGGGGGTTGGCCTCCTGACTCGAGCCCGTCGTCGAAACCGGCAAACGGAACGCAACGCGGCGATCGACGTAGCAGCGCATAGTCTAGTATAGTAGTTGAGGTCTCTGGGACAGGCTCTCAGTCTCTCGCTGGGGTTGTCTTGGCCCGAGATTCGTTCGGTCAATGGGCGAGGAGGAGTCCATCTTTTTCTTGCCGAGAGAGAGCACCCGCAAAACCCTGCCGATAAGCTTTCCCTCCGTCGGCCGCACGAGATGGGATAATCCCGTCGAGTAGAACGCGCCCGCACGAGGTTCACGGGTCGCCCGAGATGGCGGGGGGGCTTGGAGCAAGGGAAAAGTTTAATCTCGCGATCTCGATAACGAGCTTTTCTCCCACAGAATTCGGGAACGACGCCGGTACGCACAGCTCAAGGCGGGGGCATGGTTGGGAGCTTGAGCAACAACAAATCACCGAAAAGTCCGTCTGATCAGCCACCTTACTTTTTTTTTTCTTTTCATTTCGGACGGAAGCGAAAGTTAGTTACTATAACCCACACATTATAGAAGTATGCTCATAGGCTTTTCTCTCTTCATTTAGTCTTCAATGGGCAACACTCTATCCGGTGCAGCGGACAACCTTGGGGAGTGAGAGAGACATTTGAAGGATGTACCGTCTCACTCCTTGGAAAAAGCCTTCCGAGATGAAGTGCTTGATAGTAGTAGTCATGGGCACCACGCCTAACCAGTATTTGACAAGCAAAGCAACGGGCATCAGACCGTCTCCTTGGTTTTTTTTTGTTTCTTATCTTGTTCTTTTTACTTTCTTTTTTTTTCCTTGTGTTTTTCTTTTTTGCTTCCGCTTGCCACCCTTCAGGCTCATGTCTGCCCTTCCAGAATCGTATCTCGGACACCAGCGTGCCCAAGAGCCCGACTGGATCCATAACGCCGAGGATGGTCAATATTACAAACTTTTAGTATAGCTGCGCTAACCTTTTGAATGCTGGAGGAGGTTTACATGGGCTAGTTAGTGTGTGATACGGTACCTATATCATCTGTCGAGGGGCGTGGGTGTGGGCGCAGATACGATGTACCTCTTCTTGTGTAAGTATCATTCTACTAGGATCACCCCTCCCCCATCCCTTCCCGACAGTTGCTCAACAGGCCAGGAGGAACATCAACAGATCCCGGAGGAGTTGTGAGGTATGCCAAGACCACCAAGACGGCGCTAGAGAAAGTGGCTGACAACGCTTAAATTCATGCTTAAAACTGCTCACGGTGCAGTGGTGGTGGCGAGCTGCTTGGCCCTTAGCAGGTTTGGCAGAAGAAGCAGGCTGCCCTCCTCTCGGCGGCGCAGGCCAAGAAAAAGGGCTCCCTTTGGCGGTTTGGCGAAAGCCAACCATGTTTGGTCCCCCGTTCAGCAGAAACCTGAACGCCAGTCTGCGACTCTGCCAATCATGAACCGGCAGAGGATGAGGGCGAGGAGTAAGAAGAGGGCGGCCGCCGCTCGGCGACGCTATTCGAGCGGGCCACACACACACACACACACACACACACACACACCCATTTGCCTCAGACCCGGCTTGTCTTTGCCTAATCTTGGATCGTGACTGGACGCAAAAGATGGATTGGCGTCTCGTTGCCCCTCCCCCCCCCTCTTGTCTTCTTTTCCCGGCAATTCTACCAAAGAGCGACCGTGGCCCTCGGTTGATTGCCGGTTATGCTCTGTCTATGTACGGGGTACATCTCAACACCTCGGCCACACACGGGCGGTCCCGCTCTGCCAAACTTGCTTCTTCCTCGTGTGCGGCCTTTGGCCGGCGTTTGCGACAACTACCTTGTTACGAGCCCTTCGTCGACCGACCGAGGACGTCCAAGTGACCCAGAGAGAGAGATGGTGGCCTGTGGACATATTGCTTCCATATACCTGTATGTGCACTCCAAAGGATAATACGAACGGGCCCAAAACATATGCCACGGAATGCCCAGTGGCACTAACCTCACCTTGGCGGGGCGCTCGTCAGTGCCCCCGAGCTTGCCCCCGGTGGGCGCACATGTCGCTGCCGCATGTGCCAAGGCCTACGATATCAGCTCCCTCGTCATAAGGGAAAGCACCTTACGGAGGATCACCGCCAAGCTCAGAAGTCGCAGCTCGGTCGGGCAGGCCAAGAGGGGAAGCGGTGGACAGGCGTCCATCCCCTTGTCTTGTGC